GCTTCTTTGGAACAGGTGGCTCTGTGGATTGAAGCGCTCGGTGCTCAATACGTGTTTCTCAGATGTGCTCATAAGGACCACGCCTTTACACAGGTTTATCTAATTTTTCCAATGCTAATTTTTCTGGTCATTGATTTCTTACCGTAATTGAGACATACGCGTCGCAAGAAACGAGCTTAGATGATGACTCAAGACATACCTACAGGCTCACAGCTAGTAGCTTAAAAAGGAAGCAAGCGAAATGATTGAGATCGTTTAGATTTTTTTCGAATTGTATTTCCTATGCGTACGCTTCAGAAGCGTGCGTAAGGACGAGCTGGGCCACTTCTGTTTAAATTCTTTGCGAGAAAGGAAACAAGGAGCGCCTTTCATCTCGTGTCGGGTGGTGCTCGCTTTGATGCAGTTCTTGCGCGAAGATCGGCGGCTCAGTTACACGCCCTATAAGGAGCCTGGCATGCTTGGGTGGCGTTAATTACAATCGTCCTCCAATTACACACCTTAATTGTGATACACGCCACACGGTACTGCCTCAGAGACAGGTCGCTACCGTTTTCTTCATTCTTCTTGTCACAACTGATAAAAGTCAAAAACACAAGAGAGCCATCTATAGCCTCTACACCAAAAGTAAATCTAACTGTTGACCCACAATTCAGATCACACACACGGTCCACTACACCCCAGTCCCTTCTGAGTCAAGTCGGGTGTAAACTTCAGCACCGCGCGCTCCTCTGCCCCCTCCCTCTGAGGGGTTCAGACTGCGCCAGATGAAGCGGCCACGTAACTTCGCACGGTGGCCGAACTTACTCTTAGGCACCAGCTGGCCCCCGGGGAGGGGCCTCGGGCTTGGTGGCACCTCCCGACCCGGCGGCGCCTTTCAACAGGAGGTGTGCTTACTTCAGCCTCTAACGCACTCGGACTGTGTGCTGGGAGTAATGGTCACCAGTGCTTTACTGTCGCCCTTCGGCGAAAGCTCTTACGTAGGGTTCTGGTTAATCATGGATGCTTACTTCCTCGAAACTGGCTGCTGGCTCGTGCGAATTCTATTAACTCTAGCTGGAACTCCGAGAAACCTTTGTACGTGCATGTCATTGTTTTTCTAAGCTTCCTGTTGAAGTGGAAACCATCTTGCGAGAAGGTTAGAACGACATTCTTGATGTGATCAATTTATGATCTTGCCAGGGCTAATCTTTCACTCACCCTTGAGCCGTATTACATAGAAAGTCTAAGAAATTGTATTGTATTTTACATTCAAGAGCGATCCACATTTTCAAATTGCGTGGCGATTGCTGCGAAACTATAAAAGAATGACTCTTCTCTAGGCTAAGAATCCATTGAAATGTTTTATGGCCCCATCTACGCCGGTCAGTCCTAGCCCAACGTTTGAATGGAGAATAGCAAAATAGTGTCCGACTCTCCAACGTGCTACAATGTTGCTAATCTGGCCCTATTAAATTTCAATCTATCGGGCCCCCAACCTTTCCGAATGGCCACGCTACATAAGTGCATAAAGCCTGCAGGGGAAACACTACCCAATAAAAGTCGCTGGAGGATTTAGCAGGAACCGCCAAGTAACCCACAAGCGTCCCACACAATCGGCATTGATTCTACACGGAAAACCGCTTCCCAACGGCGCGTGTTTAGTGTTCGATGTGACTGGGCGCGCGTTTCTGGCATTTCGATGCTGCCCTTGTGGCGTAGTAGAGTTCCCCACAGTCGCATCGGTTCTTCAGGAGCTGGATGTTTGGACAGGCGGTGCGATGTGCTCTGAGAAACAACCGTACCGTAGTGGGAATGACAGCACTTTTGTGATTGTGAAACAATGCAACTGGGAGCTGTAATTTGTAGAGGTCAGCTGCAGTGTCTGACCTGATACCGTCTGCGCCAAGTGATATATTGAAGAATGATGTATTCTACTTATCACGAATTAAATAAGTTTTAGGAAATTTGAATAAAGCCAATTGATATTGCAAAAAGCTCAACGCTCTCTTGAGTAATGTCATTCATCTTTTGTATGAAAGTTTTAAGTTGACATATTATTGGCCATTTCGGGACAGGACAGTTACTAAAATTTTCAACATTTGATGAACAAGGACTTCGGACTCTTCTTCGCGTTTGGCATTCCTATTTACGTCCTCAGCAATAAAAGCTACACCAGGGGCGCACTTGACTAATATCTGCTTATCTACCTCACAAACAGCCGTTGACACTCCTGATTTACAGCCCGTTTCACGTGTTATGGCCCATGGGCGTTAATATGTTTGTACTGCACTTGGACTGCACTAAAACGCAGGTTCTGATTGACTTAATAGCGAGTTGCTGGCGAGTTGCAAACTCATAATCGGGCACTAAAACGTTAAAGCGTAATGGTAGTGCTTAGCAAAATAATGAGCTAATTCGTGAGCATGGGGTAATGACTTAAGTTGCTACAGCTACGCGTAAACTTCAAATGACATTTTTACGCCCAGTAGAAGTGCCAAAAGTGTTCAAGAGGTCCCTGACACTCCAGACATGTCATTAAAATGGTTAATTCAAGAAGCAACCTAGCCGATAAGAACAATAAATGCGGTTACTAGCTTTCTTTTTTTACTAGCTGTCGACTGGTCCTGCGTCTTTGCAGCCTCAAACATTTCTGATGCATGGTCTCATTTTATTCGTCTTTTCGCCCCCATTGTTCAGCGTCACGCCCCTGTCCGAACTGTGAAGCTGCGCAACCCCTCCGCTCCCCCCATCTCGGACGACACGCGTCAGCTTCTGGCTGACCGCGCCCGAGCGCTGCGCCTGTGGGGTCGCGGGTCTGATAGATACCGGGAGGCTAACCGTTTGGCCCGCGCTGCCTTCAGAGCGGACAAGCGGCGCCATATCGGACACCGCGTGTCTCAGCAGGGACGTGGGTCTGTCTGGCGCTGCGCGGCTGACATCTTGGGCAGTAAAAAGACAGCGTGCACGATACCACCTACCATCTCCGCCGAACAGATGAACGAATTTTTTGTCCATGTCGGCCCACGCGTTGCCGCCGAGCTCGCCGCGCAGGGTCCGCCCCCCTCACTTCCCCCGCGACTGCCCAGGGTGGGAGCCTGCGCCTTCCGGCTACATCCGATCACGCTCAGCACCCTACATGCCATCATCAGCTCCATGAGCAACTCCCCGTCCCGCGGATCTGACGGACTTTGCATTCGGACCATCAAGCTATCCTTCAACGCCATCAGTCACGTCCTCCTCCATATCGTCAACCTCTCCCTCATCTCCAATATCTTCCCGGAATCCTGGAAGCATTCCCTCGTCCATCCCATCCACAAGTCCGGTGATCCTGCCGATCCTTCCAACTACCGTCCTATTTCTATCATCCCAGTCCTTGCCAAAATAGTGGAGCGGGCAGTTCAGCGCCAACTCTACTACTACCTTTCCTCCAACCATCTCCTCTCCCCAACCCAACATGGCTTCCGTCCGCAGCATTCTACCGAGACCGCCCTCACGTGCGTCACCGACAGCATCCTTGCTGCTACAGATTCTGGCCTTCTCTCCATTCTTTGTCTCATTGACCTTAGCAAGTGTTTCGATGTTATCAGTCATGCTAAATTGCTCGAAAAACTCCAGCTGCTGGGCGTCGACACATCCTGGTTTCAAAATTATCTCTCCGGTCATTCGCAGAGTGTAAGCCTCACTTCCTCTGATGGCCGCGTCAAAATCTCACCTCCTCTACCCATCAACCAGGGCGTTTTTTCAAGGTTCTAGCCTCGGCCCTGTCCTCTTCTGCGCGTTTGCCAACGACCTGAGCTTGTACGTCTCCGATGGACTGGTTATCCAGTACGCCGATGACACCCAGGTCTTGGTTTCCGGCCCTAAATCTGCTCTTCCAGCGCTTGCATCGCGCATGGAAAGCACCCTTTCCTCTCTTGGCAACTACTTCCTTGCGAACGGCTTAAAGGTTAACGTAAACAAATTCGAGCTCATCACTTTTGGTTCTAGACAAAATTTGCGCAACCTCCCGACGATTAAAATCAGATACCAGGACACGTGCCTGACGCCCAGCACTGAGGTCAAAAATCTTGGTGTGGTCTTCGACCAGCACCTGTCATGGGACGCGCATGTGAGGGCTGTCTCGCGTAGATGCTGCGGCATCCTCGCAACACTATCCCACCTCCGCCACTTCCTTCCTCCTGACACCCTTCCCGAGATAGTCACCGCCCTGGCCGTCTCGCACATCCGCTATTGCCTCTCTGTTTACGGCAGCGGCAGCGCTGGCAACCTCGCAACCATCCAGAAGCTGCTCAACTTTGCGGCTCGCGTGATCGCGGGAAAACGAAAGTTTGACCGCGTGTCAGCTGTGCGAGACAGGCTGGGGTGGCTCGACTCGTCTCAACTCTTCCAATACCAATCCCTCTGCCTCCTTGACAAAGTCCTCTCCTCTAGCCAGCCCGAATGCATCGCCCGTCAGGTCTGCCTCAACCGGGACCATCATGGCCATGTCCGGCACACCAGACAGGACGATCTCCTGCACGTGCCACCCATCCGTTCGGAGGCGGGCCGGCGACGGTTTGTATACCGCTCTCCCCACCTCATGAACGATCTGCCCATGTCGGTGCGGAACCAGCGAGGTCCGCGGTTCAGGCGAGCCCTGAAGGCCCACCTACTCTCGAGACGAGACACGTGATGAACGCGTTTTTAATCATGATGCCGTGCAGGTGATGTTTTTTATCCTGAGCTATATGTATATTTTAGGTTGTGTAACATCGTGAGTGTGTATTTTACCCTGCATGTTATGATCCGATTTTATTGACGTGAAGGCCATAATAGCCACTTGTCTTGTGGATGGCTCTTTAATAAACTACTACTTTATTAAGTCATTACACCGTGGCCAACGCCTTGCAGTGTCTGATTGCTCTATATCCAGATTTCCCATTTTTCAGCTTACTAACAGTTCCCTCATCTGTTATCTGTCCCATACTTCTGACTGACCCCACCAATCTAACCCTCTCCTGCCCGTTCTCTATATTTTCCAGGAGTGCCGGCGAACCTGACGATCCGCGACTCCACACCGTATGCCGTATGTCTGACCTGGTCTCTGACTGCCGGCGGCGGCGGGGGGAGGAAGGGCGAGGGCCAGGCCGCCGGCCCGGTGCAGCTGCAGCTCATCTACAGACCGGTCAACGCCAGGTCAGCCGCCGACAAAAGGCCAGTCTCACTTTCGGCTCACTCTTTTACTATCCCTCTAGCTCTAGCTCTGCACCACTGTGTCTGTTTAGGTCTAGCCTTAGCTCCACCTCTGGCTCTAGCTTAATCTCTGGCTCTAGCACTAGCTGTAGCTGTAGCTCTCGTGCTTTTGCCCTCTCTCTCTCTCTCTCTCTCTCTCTCTCTCTCTCTCTCTCTCTCTCTCTCTCTCTCTCTCTCTCTCTCTCTCTCTCTCTCTCTCTCTTTCTCCATCTCTCTTACCTACTAGTTTCCTTCTTGCGTGCCTGCCTTTCTGTCAGTGCCAGGGCCTATTGCTATGATGTTACAAGCATGCGATAAAAAGTTTTTAAAAGCATGCTAATGTCTTGCCGCTTGCTTTCTCCCTTACTAAGGGTCATCAACCTATACGCTATTTATCTATATGCCCTATATCCTTCAGAAACGCACTTGCCACTTCTAGATCGTATTTATGTCTAGCATACCTATCTCTTGCTTCATCGCTTATTTCCACGAATGACTTCCCTGTCGCTTCCGACCCTAGGCAAGCCCGATAATAGTGTCTAGCTTGGACATGTCTTGCGGCGAAGCAGTGCAAAACGTCGGTGGCTCGCCCGCCCGATCGCAGGAATCCGTTCGCCTGCTGCACTATTTATGCATCTCTGCGGCACTCCAGAGTTCAGTGCAGGCCCACCTTTTGCCCGGAAATTGACAGGCGCGTTAGTTATTCAGGCCTGTTGCTCCAGGCACCGGTGCTTACTGGCGCGCGGACATCTATTTTCAATGAGAACCCACCCGTCATCGAGCCTTCGCAAAGCGTCATCACATATTAACGCTGATGAGAGGTGAACGGGATATGCCTACGAACTTCAGCTAGATTGGCTTTTACCAATCGTCTGCGTTTGAGTTTAAGTTCTGGGGAAGGACGGCGGTTACAACTTATTTCTTTTCTGTTTTCTTTGCTTTTTTATTAGGCAACGTTTAAAAGTTTGAAGTGTTGTCCTTCTCGTCTCTTTAAAATGTGTTAAGTATCAATTTTGACATGGCAAAGATAGACAATAACACCCCAACCCAAAAAAATGAGGCAGATATGTCTTCAGTGAGAACAACACTGGTAGCCTGCCGGCTCCGAAAATGAGGTGTGGGCGAAAAAGAAAGGCACCTTTGCAATATTCGGCTTTCAAATCCAGGCCAGCTCAAACCTCAGAGGAACGCAGTAACGCAACTGTTGATTCTTTTTGTTGAAATGGCCCAGGCGTTAAAGCAAAAGTTTGCTAATGTGCATTGTGGAAGTTAGGTGGCTGCTGAATCTGTTGCCACCAAACATAAAACCTGAAGATATTTTTATATGCATTCGCTTACTGCGGAGTGCTTACGACACTTCCATGTACACTGAATTTAAATGAACCACATTAATGTCATCCTCTGCCAGCTTCCTGCTATTCCAAATCACGGTAAAGACATCAGGAGGCCGGCGATCCAATCTAGACGTCTTTGGAAGTCCGACTCGGACCTGGTTTCTGGCCGAGCGCGGCCGGTCAGTTCAGTTAGTTTCTCGGGCGCCACGGTCGAGACGGCCGGCCGGGCGCTGTATGCCGGCCAAACTGCCTTTCCTGGCGTGAGAGCGCACCGGCTGCGCGGCATTCAGCTCGGACGAACACGGTCGGTTGGCTCTGAAAGCTCGGCTGCAAGTGCCGCCGATCGAGTCATGTGCTCAGGTGACGGCCATTCAGCTTCTTACGACCGCGACCGCAGGCGAGGCTGGCGGTGGTGAGAAGTCAAAGAGCAATGAATCATTTTTGGAGGGCGGCGGGAGCTAGTCACCAGTTTTTGGCGGTTCGAGGCATTGGTGGTCGTTTTTCAACAATGTGGGCTTTAGACTGGTAATGGATCGGTAAAACAAACTTTTCTATAAAGTTTGTTAAGCTTTTCTTTCCTATAACCAAAGCTCCTCATTGAGGCGCTAAACCATCCCTTATCTCCATTCTCCACTAGTGTATTCACTCTGTTAACCCGCGCACCGACGGGGGGGGGGGGCGGATATCCGCCCCCCTGAGGTTTTTCGCGGATAGCGAGAAAACCGCGGCGCGGTACGACTATTCTCTCATCAATTTTACACATGGTGTGCAAGTTTGAACCTCCTAACTTTTAAGGTCAGGTCACCAGGTCACTTTGAATGACCCAACCTCAAGTCACTTTTTTGCAACTTTGTCACCGTGTCAGAGCTACAGTAGATGTCGGAGGCCTTTGAAAGTCGCAGGATGTTATTAGGTCATTAGTAGCTACAATTTTTATATCTCGGAATTTTGATGTCGGTGACCTAAGGTCAGGTCAATTTCGCGACCTCCCCATTATAAGTCAATGGGGGAAAATCAACTCCCTGTTTTTACCACTAAAACGGGTCGGAATGGCCCCATATACCATACATGACTTCATATACGATCAACCTTCACTACCTTGAGGTCTGTTTTGCTGTTGGGCAGCTGTAAGGTCATGTGACGTCATCAAAGGTCACCAGTGGTTTTTTGCCAATAACTCCGTACAGGAACAAGATACAGCCGCGCGGATGGGTTCATTGTGTTCAGCTCGTCAAGACGCATCGAATGATATACATGATGACCTCGAGGTCACGTGACCTGAGGTCAATCTTTGACCTTGATCTTTCGAGGTCAACATAGATATCATTCGATGCGGATTTGCGAGAGGATCACGATGATGCCCTTAGTTTGTTCCTATCTTGACTAATTCGAAAGTTATTCGAGAAAAACTCTCTCCATATCTAGCGCCGCCATTTTGACTTTTTCGACCCCTGTGACGTCATCTTTGACCTGATCTGAAAATGACCTTAGTAAAAATTGTAGACCTTGTCCGTGCGTATCCGATGCCGTTTATCGCTTGTCGCTATCTTGCTTCGTTCTCGAGATCTCAGGGGGGGGGGCGGTCATCCGCCCCCCCCGTCGGTGCGAAGTTGGCGCAGACCCCCGTCGGTGCGCGGGTTAACCTCCCTCCCCTCTGCTCCCACAGTTACCATGGTGTTCTCCCTGTGCTGTTCTAGCCTTTCCTCTCTCTTCTTCCCACGGTGACCTCTGTGATAACCTCCCACTCCCCTCTGTTCCCACAGTTACCGCGTGGTGGCCGACCTGCACGGCCACCGTCGCTCGGCCACGTTGGACAACCTGCGGCCAGAGACCCAGTATCGGCTGGTGATGACGTCATCCGTGAACGGCTCCCTGCTCGGCACCAGCCCCGTGATCTTCTTCCACACTCCGCCCACGTGTGAGTGAGGCTGGGGGATTTGTGGGGGGGGGGGGAGGGGATGACGACTACCTTGGTGGGCGATTAGATTCAGTGCTTGTTCTGCGGTTTGATGAGGTAGGTATTCATGTTTGCATGCATGCATGTATGCCTGGGGTGTTGACACATGGGCTTTGACAGACAAGACGTGCAGGATATCTCATATGAAGATGTTGAGTTGATTGGTGAAAAGGTCACCCGTTAATGACGTCTGGGAATAGCTCATTTTGCCCAGCCGGCATAAGGCTCAGAGAAACGATAATATCACTGGCGCATTAGAAAATGATAAATATTTTCTCTGAGTTATCAGAAAACCTTTCCCGTTTTCCGATGTCACATGTGAAATTAATCATTGCTGTCGAAACCGACTGCGTAAGTCATCCACTCAACTAACTCAATCGGCACACGACTTTTACGAAAAACTTAAATTCAACACTTGAGTAATGTTTATACGACCGTCGCCATCATATTCACACGACAGTCATAAAGAACTACGACAACGCAATCTCCTCCCATCACGAACCACCCCACTGCATATATGATTTATCGCTGGTGCTTCTCTCTACATCGCGTATAGTTAGCGTCCCTCCGAATTTCCGGCTCTACCGCCGCTAAACTCATTCATCTCTGCTGGGGCGGATCGCTCGGCTGTGTGTTTTTGCCGGTGTGATTTAAGTGGCTCAGCGGACGTGAGCGCGGCTGGCTGTGATATTTCCACTGCAGGGCTGTCGGACGGGTGTGTGGATGATGTTTTCCGACACGAATCCCACCAGTAGCTTCCGGTTATGTATGCAAACGTGATAAGATAGCTGAAGAGGATAATCGTCGAGACTAACAGCGTTTAGTTTTGAAAGATTTTGTGGGGTGACTGCCGAGTGGTGGTTTCATTTGATGTGAATTTATAAAGTATTTTAAATGTGGTAAAGAAAAAGTTATGCTGCATGATAGATGCTTATCTAATGTATTTAGAGTTTCTTGGATTGTCTCTAATTGTCATTCATCACACGAGATATGGCGGTTCGTTTAACATAAATCAAAAAACATCTTTGCCATGACATTTTATATCCTGACGTCCACTGTATGTTTTTAAAGCTAGTAAGCCCGTTTTACGAGTAAATGAAGACATTCATACGATTGTCACATTTATCACAAGTATATCGTGTTGCTAGCTGAATGCAACTCGCCCTATCTCTGGTGGCTGTTAACGCAAGAGAAAAATAACCCGGATGCTGAAAATTGGCCGAGAAAGGCTGAAGCCTTGCTGGCGTCTGTTCTTCCGAGGCGAATCACGCCCGCTTTTTCTCCGAGCCGCACCGCGCATACATGATCAAGCGGTTTATTGGGGACCAATGCGGGGAATTAGCCGGGCAATTCCGCGACTAATTGGTATTGATCATAGCCCGAACGGACGGCTTTCCTGGTGGTATTGCTTTACGCCATTATCGACCGTACGCACAGTGGCGAGTAACAAGTTTAACTTGCTGGGGCCGATGTAATTTTGGTTTTTACCCGGTATCGGTGCTAAAGGTGAAATACAATCAGCCTGCGATTGGAAAAAAGATCAAATCAAATGAAGGCAGCAATCGGCCTGATTTCTTGATTAATGCAAGCAGAAGCAAGGTGGGACTGGTAAGCAAGGTACTGGTGGGAGTAACTGAAATAATCATTATGCTAATTTACATATAATCAATATGTTGCATTACAGTAGCATATCCTTTGGAACAATAAAAACGTATATGAAAAAGAGCGTTTGCAACTTTCCTGAAATGCAAACTGCAATTAAACAATCCTAAAAATGTAAAATACAGGCAAGCATATCTTTCGCAATGGCCTAACAACGATGCCATTAATCACAGGCCGCAAAATGTCAGTAGGCAGTAAATGTCACTGTCAAGCGTGATTGAAGACTCTCTATATCGTTCAAAGCCTACCCATTTGCTTTCAGTTCGGTAGAATGCTACACGGATTATTTCTAGCTTTATGTGGGCTTGATTTTCGTACTCGGCCGGCCGCCCGGGCAGTGACCGACAACCGGACAGCTAAACCGTGGAATTATTTATGAGCTTCTGCGTTAACCTGGCAAATCTCACTAACCCAAGGCGTGTTGAATAAACATTGACACACCTTGGGATAGAGAGATGTCGATTTAACACGCTTTGGGATGGTAAGATTTTCCAGGATAGCACGGAAGCTAGCAAATATTTTTTTTACAGTGTGAGTCACCCGAGCCCCTGTCACTGGCCTGGATACTGTGCCGCGGTGCACAGCGTCCCGTCCGTCGCAACCGCTTATAGATTGAGGGACAACGTCCGCGACCTACTTTCCAGGCACACACGCTGGAATAGTCGTACGCCTGCCAACCTGGTCATTTTTCTTGATCTGGCTACGCGTTGCAGTATAATGTATGACGTGTGTAGAATGATAAACGTTGCGCAGAAGGCATCAAATATCAAAGCCAAAACTACGCGGCGTGGGCCAGTTTGTACCAGCTAATTGTGGCTATCAATTATTGCCGTCAAGCATCTCGTGCTTTCTCAGAATTAACACCAGCCGGGCCATGCCACGTGTCACATTTTCTGCCCTCTTTGTATTCACTCCTTTCACGTCCCCCTGTAGTGTTCTGACCCCGAGCTCGGATCAAAGCCCGTCTTCATGACTGTGTGTCATATCAGCGTCACGCCAGTCCGTCATCGATTGTTGGACCTGCAACAAGCACCATCTGCTAGCAATCGTTGTGATGCGGCCATTTTGCTCAGAAGGTCAAGGCAGCTCTTTGTCAATGTCACAGAAGCAATATGTATCGATTGTCTCAAACAAAAGACAGTAAAAGCGATCTTATGTGCCTCCAAGTGATAAAGCGTTCCGCAAAGAGGGTATTGAAAACGGCTAATGACGCGTAAACGGTATCGGAAGGCGGATATTAGCAAAGGCTGGTTGTTGGAAACCTGTATGAGTATTGAGATCGGAGTTGTTGCGTAGGTATTTAAGTGTGTACATTTGTCAATCCCAAATAAGCTGTTTTATTTTTACCATGAATAATTGTTAAACCTTTACTTAGTACTTTCCGTTTTATATCTGTGGGCATGATGGAAGCGGTCTTTGTTTCTCTTGATCCTTTTCGGAAATCTTCCTGAAGCATATACCTATATAAGTGGCAGTGATAAAAATTCCCCATTCCGCTTTTGTGAGTAGCCTATCACACTTGAATATGGGGAATGCATTAGTCATTTCCATATCATCGTCGTATATCGTGCGGTCTGTCGTGGCCATTTGAAGCAGTTTACCAGCACCCATTTTCCTGACTTCGCCGCTGTAACACGGGCTCTAGCAGGGACGTCTCTACCATATCTCTGTCCGGTGCCTTTAACTAGCGTCTTCACCGCCTTTAGCGGCTGCGGCTCGCTCAATATGCGGACAAATTACCGCGATACCGACCGGGAAACGCGGCAATAAATCGCTAGCGCGGACCGAGGCGAGCTTGCGCCTGTCGTCGGCCAGTTAGGGCGTCCTGCTTCTGTGGCCGTCTAACCGCAGGGAGATTTAACGCAGAGTTGGTGTCAGCGCCAGAGGAAATGCCCGGAGCGCCGACTGTGTGTGGGTTGTGGTCCGGCGGGAGGAGTGAGGTTTTTGGCCGTGAGGACGCTGAACTGGTCGAGATCTTGCTTGACTGAAAGATGTTTCACCAAGTATTAGCACACATAGGATCAGAATATTGTCATAGTTATTGTTTGCGATGCATGAGTGCTGTGTAATGTCTGTTTCCGGTTAATTACTGCAACAGCTAAAGGTATTTATAGATAAAAAGCTAACGTTTTTATTTTACTTGTGTACCGATTAGGAAAAGACCAACCACACAAATGTATGCCCAAAACTTTGCAAGCGACTCGACCTTCGTTTCATTTCACTGCACCAGGACACTGTTCATGGCTTTGATATCTACATACATTACGATGCACAAGTATAGGCTCACATGTCCCTCGTCCATTTGTCTTTCTTCGCCGTCATCGCTTTCTTTGCCATATTCAGGTCAAAGACACCGTAATTGCGTAGGATGAAGAATGAAAAATAAATTGCTTGGTGTCTCATGATGTTGTGTGAACCGATCTATTACGAGCACAAACAGCGTGTGCGCTTCACACGTACGATGAGCTCAGTCCTCGCTTAGTTTAACGGCGTGGTACCTGAATAAACGAGAGAGAACTCGCAAAGAAATATGTTCGTCACTTGATAAACTCTTGTGATTCATGAGCGTACGTTGCTGGAAGTATACGGTCCATTCAGAACGCGTTGTCACGATGCTACGGCTGCGTAAATTATTTCGTGTAAATAGCACACCCAGCACGCTTTCCTCATGCTTTATCATATAGATTGCGTTCATCATCAGCGTTAAAGTCCTTAAAACAAATGGTGCTATTTACTCTTTGCGTTTCACGACTTTTGCCTACGGATAAATTATGTTGTGTGCCTGTGCCGTTTTTTTTATTCTCCCACCTATCGACCATTTTCCCTAAGAATCATTGCGCTACTGTGTGATACTGTGAGGACTGAAACGACCCGTATCCGTAATTCGAGTTGTGCATTTTACGAAGCATGTACATATGTACTCTTACGACGTGGCATGTGGGAGTTTTGTGTCTTTGACGTTCATGACGATACGGCACAAATTCATTGTTTAGCTTAAAACCGTTCCCGGGGAAATACGCTGGAGTTTCGGAGTCTTAGAGCTTCACGAGCTGCTCTGATCTCTCAGGTACTAAGTTTTGATGAATCGTGATGCTTGAGCGAAGTCTTATGCGGAGCAAAAGACTTGCGCCAATACCCAGCTGGGACATGAGGCTTAAGAAGTATTTCTAAGACAAATTCCGCTTTCCCAGCTAACATTTACAAGGCATCGTTTATGGAAAAGCTCACTGATGGGTTCTCAAGGAGAAATGTTAATCCACGCACTAATACCATGACCGCTCGACCTCCTTTCGCCGTTGTGTATGGACACGGTAAACTGCCTAATGAATTTATCGTGTAATGGCAGCGCCTTGTTTACGCGCCTTTTCAGCTGACCTTCAGGCCGACACTTACGAACAGGCAGTCTGTTTACCGTCTGCAGCTAACAGCCCGCTCCCTATATCCGTTCGCACGTGGTGCAAACTTTGGCCGAGGCGTGCGCTCAGGTGCTCGGTAGGAAGCGCAAGTTTCAGAGCACAATTTAGGTCATTGAATTTATAGGTCTTTGCCACTCGCATATTTCTTCTCGAGCTATCGACACTATACACCCGGCTACAGCAGTGTGCTGATTGGGATTTTCATTACCTATGGTTTCAGAACATGTCGAATTTGTTACTGCTTCTCTGCATTGCGGTGCGACAGCTAGCCATCCTCTTTGTCCGGTACGCATCCATTTTATATTTATAGCTTTTAGGAATTTCCCAGCAGACTGTGTGAAGATCGGCTATCCACCTATACGTCACACCCTCTCCGCTACTCAGTGATTTCACATTATCCCTGTCCCGTGTGATTTCAGTGCCGCTCGGCTTCGTCCCGTCTTCCTACAGCGATCGAGAAGAGATGCTCAGCGCAGAAGAGATCGGTATCATCATCATCGTGCTCGGTGTCTGGATGATGGCCATCGTCCTATTCTTCAACAGGTGCGTGATCCGACAGCCAAGGAAGACATCAATCGTGTCCACTTTATCAAGATAATGCATGATTTAGCTCACTTTCAGTCGAACTTCAGTAAGAGAACCATCAAAAGTATCATGGATGTTTTAGGAAAAAAGGGACGAGTGGCTGAAATGATAACCTAAGTTTGGCCGCTTTTGTTCATTACAGGTGGGGCAAGATCCGTATGTTGGAGCCGTACGAGTACAATTTCAAGTACCACCATCCGATTCCTGAGGTGGCCAACCACCGTCCCAGCTGTCCGCTGGCCGACGGCGCGGTGAGTCAATACGGCGCAGAATCACACACAGAGCAGCACGCTGTTCGCCCTTACTGCCGTCCTAGAACTGTGTTATGGGATGCAAATCCGTTGAAAGGGCCGTTAGCTTATCTTCTGAAAAGAGTCACCTACGTTTTGTATTTTTTGTTTAGCTCGCTTCTGCAACAGCAATCAGCTGGCGCAATCTTCCTTAGCTTAATGTTACCTGTAAATGTTACAAGCCCAACAACCAGTAAACACATGCGAATAAACTAAACAAACTAAATACTGAACAGCATGTGTGTTACTGAAGTGCACGTTAACGAAGCATGCTGCTTGTGAGACAAAACTTTTCAATTATGCATGTCTCATATCCGTTAGGTGGCATCGAGCGAGGGCGTTTGTGCAACATCGCTGACAGCTTGATACCTTATCATCAACGTCCGGAAGAAAGTTTCGCGTACATTACTCACTTAAGTTTCCCATTGCAATCTGCCTTATTTGATGAAACACACGGATGAGATACAATTACCTTTCTGGCGCCGGAACTTTGCAGCGAAATTGCCTTCATCTTTCGAACTAACTGAAAGCCAACGGCGAAGTTCGCACTTTTACACGTTGCGTAGTTCGTATTGAAGAAGTTATAGGATTTGGTCCCCAAGAATAGTGCTTCTCTAATAGGATATACCTTGAAGGGGATGGGACTGATATGTTAGGTAATTGAGAATTATTACAAGTTTGATGGGCTTTGATCAGCCAGTCAGACTTTCAATCACATTATTAAAAGCAGCACATTGCTTTCTGAATGTGGAACGTCTTGAATCTGAATGTCTTGAATCTAAGGTTGTGACGGGAACTCATGAATAGCAACGATTTGTTACTTTCTTAGGCATGCTGGAGACCTTATGTAAGCTTCAATAGCATGTTTTTTCTCTCTTTGGTACACATGGCCCTGTTTGGTTAGCGTGCAGTAAGGACGAAAAATAATCTAATACGAATTACGATAGTCATCATGGGCTCGATGATGCCGCACGAGTATTGCTAAATCAAAAGTAAGGATTTTATCTTTGCGGCAGGACCTTTCTTCCACGAAAGACACATGAACCTTGGGTAGTGTTCCGGTGAGACAAATAGTTTAGGAGAAAATATTGTTTGACTAACCAAATCGGATCAGCCTCATCCAGCATACATAGTTGCAAGCTGCGACACCCAGCTGTTGTAGCTGCTCAGTTCAGTTTTGAAGCCTGACTGCTGGGTAACTACCAGCATAACGTGCGCTGGAACCATCCGTCTAAGGAGAACATCGCTAATGCCACTATCAGCCCCGGGCTGTGCGGAAGGGCCACGGGAGCATACAGATGCGGCCGCCGCCTTCCTGAACTGAACTGTGCTCTAAATCAAGTTAGATGAGTTAGCCGGGAGTGAATTTGTGGACCAGTGTAGTGGAGTGATATAAATGGGGAGAACTGATGTGCAGCTGAGAGCTGAAACCACGGATAAAAGGGACTTATATGGACATACACCATTGCTAGATTTATATAGAAGTTAAAAATATGCATCGACTATGGTTTTCCTGAACGTATGAGTCTGTAAATAAGCCAGGATACATAATATCATATGACACTTTTTTAAGAGTATTTTAATAATAGTAATAAGAAGAATTACAACAATAATCTGACTTCCCATGGCGGTATTTTATAAATAATGCTCATTGCTCAGCCAGGCGAAGTTCATTTCTGTCCCCTAGATGGCGCTAGCAGTAGGCGCCTGAAGTGGTAGACTGTGCCACACGACGCTAACCTGGATCGGTAGACTGTGCCGCATGGTCTAGCATCGGGCTGAGCGCAATACGGATATTGGGCGAGAAGGCATTTTTGGCCATTCGTTTGCTGGCATAAGCTCGTGTAGGTATACCACTTTGTCGGTACTTTGCGGTATTCTTCCATGTACAGAAGCGCACAAATGCCATGTCGTTGACAAGTGTCACCAAACGCATGTGTCTGTGTCTGCGTTTGCAGAAAAAATCAAATGTGCACGATGGTCATTTGGGCTTGTGCACCGAAAAACGATTGTGTAGTCGACGCAATGAAGTTGTGCTGTAATGAACCTCTTGTGAAGGCCATTCTTGCGACAGGATAAGTCACGAAGCCAATACAATGCAATGAAAGTAAATGATAACACTGATGCCATCACATTGAAAACTAAACGAATAAAACAAATCAAGAAACGAAATAAAAGTGACTTACACCAAGAGACGGCACGTGAACAGCCTATTTGCAGTTTGATGTTCCAGCAGCGGGTCATTTTCCGTCTGGGACGGTGTGGATCGCCATCGGTCCGGCTCGGCGGCTCTTTTGATCGCCGGTCGTCGGTTGAACGGTCCGCTCAGCGGTCCATTTCCCCGCCCGGAGTGAACCGAGGCGCGCCGCGGAGACGGTCATTTCCCGACCGCCGCCTCCGACATCGGCTTTGTGTCGGGGGACCGGCGATGATGCGGTGATGTGACTCCGGCGAGACAGACGTTACGGTCAGCTATGACGGCCGACCGGGGACGGGTGGGTGGTGTCTGCCGCTGTTGGCACCGCCGTCGCCTTTGGCTGACCTCTCATTCTCTGAAAGAGTAGCTCCAGCTAGATAGGGGAGAGCGGGGCCAGTTGAAACACGGGGTCAGATGAAACATGGCTTTATTTTCAACAGTATGCAACATATGGCGCTGCCGACACCACTGCGCATCCGCGCTCGACCACTTCCTTTGTCAACGGCGTTTGGGCGGCAAGCGGACGGCAATTTTGATTTGACACTTGTTTTTGTGTTTTAGAGGGGCGTTTGGGAGAAATTGTTTTTATGAATATTTTGTGATATCTCATATACCTTTGTTTGCTGAAAGAAGAACTCCTGGCTCCGGAATAACACCTTATTTGGCCCTTCATTCAGCATGATGCCGTCCCTCCAGCTCGTTTAACATGTGCTTTACGGCGCGTGCGAGATGGCGGGAGCGGATGGGGTCAATTGAAACGCTTCTCTGAGGGTCAGTTGAAACAGGGCCACAGGCCGTTTCAATGGACCCCGGTGGCCTTTGCAATGGTTATTGTTCAGGGGCTGTAAACATTAAAGGAAATAGTCCACCTTTGAAATGAGCTTTTAAACTGAAATAGTAGTTTAATAGAGCTCAATTTTTGACCCCTTTTTCTCCAGCCTTTTGCTTGAAAGCACACTATAGCCTGAGATATTTCTCATTTTTCTCATCCGCCCATTTTACCATAGTCTATGTACTTTATGTCACCTATTATGAGGAACTTTGCACTTTTAGCTTTCCAATGACCTATTGAATGTAGCATTTGGAAAAGTAAACCGGACAAAATATCTCCTTAAAAAAGTGGCCTTAAAGAGGAAAACATCCCATTGTTAAGGATAGGTGCAATTGACCCCATGGGCTGGTTCAATTGACCCTCGCATCGGGGTCATTTGAAACGGGCGTAGAGCTGTTTTAGAAGCATGCGTTTGGCAGCAAAATATGTTTGAAACATAATTTTACATATCTTAAAATAAAGCCAAAAGAGCATATTTTTTCATGGCATTGTGCATTTTTCGATATGACTACTAGATCTCGCTGTGCATGTCAATATATAAAAAGTGGTTCAACTGGCCCCGCTCTCCCCTAAGACTCACCTTCGCTGCTGCCTCCGCCTGAATTCGTTCACGATATTCTCTAAATCGGCCCTGCGGATGAAATCAGGAGGCGATTTGCCCCGGAGAATCGGTCTAATGGAATGAAAGGTGCAGTTAGGGACGCAATGGGCACTCCCAGGTGATGAGGCTATTGTGGGAGAGCCGTTTTCCACACTTTGCCGAAGTCATTGCTTTCATGTAAGTAACAAAAGCTACTGCTGCAAAACCTACAGATAGTAGTTAGGTAAGTACATGTACACTGTTGTCTATGCAGCCTTGTACGCGTAAAGATCTTAATTGGAACATTTGCCCCACACCCACACATTAACAAAGTCAATGCGTATTACAAGCGGATAAGCCGCCGATGTTCAGCACGAAACCCTTTAGCAATGCGCACATATTTTCCCATTTGTTAAGATTAATTAAAACGCAATTTATTATGTAATTGGTTACAAGTAAGTATTTTTGTCAGTTTACCGAAACTATTGGTTACGTGAAGCGAGCCAAGTGCCCGGCCCCCAGCACCTCAATTCGATGATGGGTGTGTTGAACGGCTACTTACGTTTTACGGATTAGCCAGCCCGTCATGCTCCAATCGACGAAATTGTCTAACGATTAGTAACTACGCCATCCATTAACTCTGCCCGATAATTAACGTGTCCTTCATGGTCGACACAAATTTCCCTGGCACGGCAATTCATACCGCCCATTTCCGGACTGATATTACACATAATTACCTGCCGGTCGAAAATGTCATCCTGCGGTCGTGTGTGTGGTCGTCCGTCGGCTGGCCCGCTGTGGGGTTATTGGGTGCGGTGTAACTCCCGCGGCAGTGGTGAACGGCGCGCTGGACTGGGGAGGAGCAGGCCGGGACATTGCGTGTGTCACACACGGCTGCTCACAGTGGTCCGGACAGTGGCCGTGTTAGTGGGTGGCGTGCAGCATGCGAGAGAGGTGAAAGGAGCGTTCCTTCATTGCTCCCCATTGCCCCATAGTTCCACCTATTTTTCTCACTACATAGAGCGGCTCGTTTCGTGGGAGGGCTACTGAGATGGGATGGGATGGAGACCATGCGAAGACTGGACGGAGACGGGACGGAGACGGGACGGAGACGGGACGAAGACGGGACGGAGACGGGACGAAGACGGGACGGAGACGGGACGAAGACGGGACGGAGACGGGGCGGAGACGGGACGAAGGCGGGACGGAGAAGGGGGGACGGAGACGGAAGCGGAACGGAGATGAATTAAACGTTTTCAGCCAAAAATTAAATCGACCTTCTAATATAAAAACCTGATTATGTTTTATATGACTTAATCGTTAAAAGGTTGTTTTGTTGACAAAACAGCTACCTGACAGTGCTAAGAGAGCGCTACTTTTCTTACAGATTTGTACTCTGCCTAAAGGTTTTTCAGCCCCACTCGCCCAACGGCAATTCCAGTACCATTATGATAACTGATACCACCCGACCGTTCGGAACGTTAGCAATGCTTGCCTCAAATATCAAGCTCATGTTTTTCTCGCTTAATTTAAACTGACATTTGGACAGCCGGGGCAAACTCGGATCTGCGGCTCGGAAAGGAAGCCCCACATTCCCACTGCCTGGGGGTCAAGGCCACTAAATTGATGTCTGATGACTATTTGGCTACCAAGGCAGGTGTCAGCGCTGTTGCTAGCGCCAACAGCCACTCCTCATTGCCGGGTGACAGCGCGTCATATATTGAGTTTGGAAATGTCAGGCGTTTTTGTGGGCCTACAAATAGGCACGCCCTATTGATAATGTGGGGAAGTACGCGGGCCGACTGGTATATGGGCTGAATGTCATCCGGTAGTGTGTGGCGTGTGTACGTGTGTATGTGTGTTTTCATTAATTAACTGTATGGTGGTCCACATGAGATTCTCGTGACATTTGTCCCTTTGGGGTCTGCGTGTTTGGCTGATAAGGCCTTGTGCTCGGCACATGCTATGTTGTGTGCACCCTACAATAGAAGGTTGTATAGTATACATTCCTAGGTGCGGGATCATATCTGTGATCAGTTGATGTGCTCTGGCCAGTCCGCCCCTATATATTTTGATTAAGCATATGCTTATTTACGTACAAGTTTTGATAAAAGGTCATATGTATATTATAATATTCTAACTTTGAAGTAATTTGTGCGAAGACTGGCACGCGTGGATAACACTTTGTGGTGGAAATCATTAATCAGAATATGCTCATGTTCCCACCGCTGAATAAAAAGGAAACAACCAGTGCATCTGCTGTTCTTGGTTTCGGGTCTCCACCATTACAGCCCACTGCACCAGCACCGTCCGTCCTACTAGCCGTGACAGCGAGATCCGGGAGATTTAGCACGGACTAAGGAGTCTTATCTCGCCTCAACTGAAATGGAGCTGCTGCTCTCACTCGATAAATGAATATTCATTTTAGAGGCGACAGTGTCACAGAGTCGTGCACTAAGAACGCGACAGTTTTAAAATAAACTAAGAGGCGAGAGCTGAGTTCCACTCACTGTTGCTCTTATACCATCATCACCGGTCGTATCCCGATAGCAGACATGCATCGCAGGATGACATTGATTGGCAGGCTATAGTGGTAACCCTCCGTTAATGAATGTCGGCAACTGACCAGTGACCTTTCGACTGCCGACCAATGGTCACAGACCACTGGACCACTGACCTCCGGCTGCTGACCAGCCCATCACTGACCTGCGCCCCACCCTTCTGTCCCAGTCGCTGGCCGCTGACTGCGCTCCTCTTTCTGCACCTCTAGCCGCAGACCCGCGCCTCTCCGTGTGTCTCCGGTCTGTAACTACCGGAGTGCTGACTCCTGACCTGCGTCCCTCCCTCTGCGCCCCCAGCCGCTGCTGCAGACCTCGTTTGACCGGCACTGCTCGCTGGACCGGCGGCTGGCGCCATACGGCCGCCGCTGCTCCTCCCTGTCCGCCTACCTGAGCACCGAGCCGCGGATGATCCGCAACAACAGCGACCCGGCGCCTCCACACCCTCCCGGCCAGCCCCGGCCGGGCGCATACCGCAGCAGCATGCAGGAGCTCCGCCGGGAGACCACTCACTACGGACCTGACCTGGCGCCGGCCGCCGGCCGACCGGCCCGGACCGCTCAGGACTCACCGGTGGCCGTGGCGGTGGTGCAGGGGGCCGCAGAGACCAGCGGAGTGTCCCGGGTGAGCCCGGCGCCGCCACAGGCGGGTGTTGGACGGGGGAGTCCCACCGTCGCGAGGAGAGAGACTGGTCGAGAGGTGGGACTGACCAGGGGTCGTAGTGTGGTGGCGGAGGAGGGCAGACTCGCCGGGGAGGCCGGCGGCAGGCGCGCGGAGCCCAGTAGAGCGCTAGAGCGGCCCCGTGAGCTACTGCTGAATCTTGAGAGGGATGGTCACCCGGCCGAGACCGGCACGGCGCCAGGAAAGACGTCGGAGCCGGACAGACGACAGAAGCTCACCAAACCGTTCCGCCTGATCTGCCGGGAAACGGAGACCGAACCGGCTCGGGACTCGGAGGTATGACGTCAGACCCACGACCGACGTCACCAGACTGTGTGGCGTCACTCTGCCATGTCACGTTACACATTGTGACCTGCCTTTAATTAACGCGACGTATCCCCGGTGAGATTCCGAACCCGGTAGCAATCCAGAAGCCTCAGCGTCCTGTTGGAACGTCATCAATTCGGGGCGCACTCCGCAGCCCGCCCGGGTCTGATCACGACGGCGCCACGAGATGCGGACTGGGGACGTCTCTCAGAAGGCTTCCCGGCCGCCGCGCCGACAGCGTCTGCCGACGAAGGTCCGGTGATTACCTGCTGCAACTGTACCGCTGCCCCTTCTCGGGAGTGGAACGGGGGAGGGAGGGTAGCTGCCGACGGGCAGAACGCCACAGCGGACCCGGCTGAGCTGGAGCTGAGCTGGGATGGTTCTCAGCTGAGTAGTGAGTTGAGATGGACTTGAAATGGAGTGAAAGCTGAGTTAGGCTGTAACCGAGCTTCGAGAAGCTGAGTTTGTGCTGAACTCAGCTGAGTTGTGCTGGGCTGCAGCTGCGCAGAGGTGACAACGTTAGTACGCTAAAGTTTCTGCAAAACTTTGAGCAGCACAAGGACCGGGCTTCACTGCCGTGGTAATTGTGAAGAGGGTCGACGTTTTGACGCGCCAGTTATTTGGCAAGTGCTGACATGCGTGCAGGTGCTGCGGGAAATGTGACGAACTTCTTCGCCATGGGGATGTCCAATTGCGATCATCAGCGCCCATTTTGGACGCTACAATGCGACTTGTTTGGAAGGACGCACGTACTGTCAGTGTCGACAATGGATTGATCTCAACTTGTGATCAGCGAGAGTGTGAGTGCGGAGCATATGTGAGCGAGTGATTCCGGTGAGATGTTTTGTAAGAGGGGTGTCCGTATCGATTAGTGAATTTCACCCCCTCTCTCATGTCATCTCCCACGGTACGATTATCACTCCTATGTGCCGCAGTGCAGTGATGCCCTGCGGCACAGTCTATCTCTGCAGTGACTCTGAGCGCTAGTCCTGACTTGTTTTGTTTGTTTTGTTGGGTTAGGCCCTTTCGGTCGACAAGACCATTGCAGAGCCGGAAGGATGATAGGAATTAGGGGGAGACATTGGTCTGGGCAGGCACCCTAGTGAGTCGCCGGGGCTGAGCCCGTCCGAAGACAGGCCACCCAGCCCCAAGGCACTCACTGCACCCGGCTACGGGGTGCGCTCCCTCGGGAGCAGCGGTGCCGCTCCAAGGGAGCAGCCCGCATGAGATAAAGTTGCCTGTCCAGCCCGGAAGGGTGTTGTGGTGTGGAGGAGAAGGATTTCAGTTTCCTGAGGATAGAAGCACGGATAGGTGAGTCCTGACTGTAAAACCCACCGTGACCTCCCCCGGTCCGCCGCGGACACATTTTCCGACCATACCACCGGCCCTGACCACGACCGTGGTCGGCGCCGCGACCAGATGGCCCGCCGCGTCCGTCCTGATTAGGGACGCGCACATTGGCCCCAAACAGATACCAGACGGCCGGCGGGTCGGACGGCGGAGGGCCGGTCGTATTCCGGCAGCAATAAGTCACCGTAACGACAGAGAACGCCCATGTGAAGGTCAAACGGCTCCCGTTACCACCCCTGAGCCGCGGTCTACCGTCCGGCTCAGGTCGGCCGAGCCAGCGGTCCAGGTAAATCGATCCTAAATCCGCCGTCAGTGAGCTGTATCGGTCCAACGCACTCCGGTCCGCCGCTAATTCACCGTTACAAAGCCATCTTCTTTCCAAAGTCCCACCGTTTCAAATCCACCACCCGTAATCCACTGCAAGGTCCGCCACTACAATTCCATTGCCGGTCAAACGTGGCTGTGCCGGGCAATCCATCGCCCAGCGCCATTTAGGGCTATTAAATTTACACAGCACGTGTTGACACAGCCGTGCGGTGCGAGACGACCTGACGCGAACTGTAATATCGTGCACGCGTGTGACGTGATCTTTACAGCTCGGGCACGAAACGTTACCGGCTATTTATGGTTTGTGTTTCCGGCATAATTCTCGTTTTAATGAAGTGTTTTACTGAGAAGGATGTTTGCGTTAGCTATCCATTGTGTACACAATCATAAGGGAAGTGTCTTTCCATTAAGCCGTCAACTGCAGCATTAACCATGTTTTGCGGCATTGATTAAAAGCTTCCGAAATTTCGGTAGCATATCAGGAAAGGTGAAGACATCTGCAGAGTTGATGTAGAATGACGTGCTCTCAAATGGTTGCTCCTGCAACTGAGAACAATGCATGGATGCTGAACCTTATCATATCGACCTTGTGCCGATAAACGCTAATAAGCATGTAGACACTGTTAGCATATATTCACTCAATGTATATACCATATCACATCTCTCGGAAGCTGGCACTCTTGTCTCGAACTTTAGTCCCTCTGTCCCAGCGTAGACCGCCTAGAATAGCAGATCATGCGACCACACCCTCGTGTAACTCCCATATTGTGTGATCTACGCGGGCACTGTGGCTGTGCTGAGCGACTTGTCCGAGCCTGGCGCGGCGCTGTGCGGCGTGCGATGGCGCGGTCCGACGTGAAGTAGCGCGGTGTGACGTGTAACGGCAAGTGTCGTCTGCCGGTCACCTGGCCACTGTGGTGTGACACCACCGTCTGGGAATGAGTTATCGATTGTTGGACGGGGAGGGTCACCGTTTGTACATAGACGGTCATAGCGGCCGTCATTGCCGACAATTGAGACGGGAGAGACGAGAGAAAGACCAGAGACGAAAGACGGAGGAGACGGAAAGACACAAATATGAGAGAATGAGACAAACGATGAGAGGATGGGAGACGGAGAGACGGAGGAATGGGAGACTGTTGGGCTGAGACGGGAGATGAGAGGCAAAGAGACTTGGAGACGTACACAGACGGGACCGGAGGCGGTTGTCTGGTGGGAGAAGTAAAGACGAGAGACGGAGTTGATAGACGAAAAAATGAGCGTCGGTAGACGAAGTGTGAGTCAGAGTGAGACGGTATGGTGAATAACTGTTGTCTACTTTCGTATCCACCGAAACGCGTCAAATAATCAAACCGTATTGCGCATGTTTTTCAAACGCGCGAAATACAGATTGCTTAAACAATCGTGCATGTTGTGTGGGGAGCGGTTAGTTAGCAATGAATGTGAGTGGACTGTGGAAGGGCGCCGGATGGTATGCCTCTTCACGTTATTGTTTTCTTTCGAAAGTATCATTGAAAGGAACATGCTTTCTTTGATGTGTTTGTTAGGGCGAGCCAGCAGATGGCAACAAGACCTCTTTCGGACATGCCTCGTCCTCACTTCTTGACGGCTGGCGCGGGCTACCGTCACGTCGCCGGTTTAAGAATTTTCAGTCTCCATGGCAACGAGGTGTCTTTTCTCGCACGTGTCATTGATCGACACTTCAGTCGAGTAGGAGCCGTGCCAATCGACTTCGCTCTCTGTCTGTCTAACATTCTGCAGACAGCTTTAATTCACTCACTTTGAACAGAAACCTGAGCAGTTTGCCCCAGGGAGCTTGGCTTTCTGACGATTGCTTCAGAATGGACCTGAGGATCGAACGGCGGGTGAAGATAGTTTTAAGTGTCCTTATATAGACCAGGAGCGAAAAGTGAAGCTCTGCTCTGGGATTCTCTTATGCCAAGCTCTGAATCTGAACTAGACATTATTGATGGATGATTGCAAATTTCTGTTCCGTTCTATCTCGCGCTAAAACTCTCCGGTCACTTGAAGGCACTGGTCAATATAAAAAGGTCGTCATTGATATTGCATCGGTATTGAATGCTTTTGGGTTCCATGAAGCGATGGCTTATCCCAGCAACTGATCAACCAAGGCAATCAAGTCTTTCAAAGTTCAAAGGCATACCGACTTCCAGCACTTTTTGTGCTCTTTTTAGAATCGCACAACAGCAAACACCAGTCAGCCGGACGGCCGTAGGCTAATAACCGAGTTCGCACATTTCGCTCCCAATCAGCAGCTTTCGGAGCTGTCGGGAATAGCGGAGCTGGTCCCCTACCGGGAACACCAATTTATTATTCCTAGCCCACTTCATTTCCCCAAAACGTGCTAGTCTAGCCACAGTGACAGATTGAACGTTACAATTATGTTAATGAGGAATCACTGGTTAGGGACAGGCGTTTCGTTTAGCCCAGCCAACCTGCATGCGCCTATAGAAACGTTAAACGGGAACATTCCCACAGTTTTGTTTTTTCACTTGCCCCATTCTCGCTTTAGTTTTAATCACGCCCCAGACGATGGTTAATGGCAAATGGAAGCAAACCAGTGAAGAAAGTGAGCTGATTAGGAGTGGATCTGTTCTGAGAAGTGACAGCCACACTCTACCTGTCTAATTGTGCGCGTTCCAGCGCCACAAAAAAAATGTAGCATAGTTATATGGCGTACTGCGACGCTCAACATTGACCTTTGTGTAAAGGCTTACGCCATCAACCCCCTGAGCACAGTTCCTCTGCGATTACGGAAAGTCACAATCTCATGGCGTCCTGAATCAGTCGAATCTTCCATACCAGTGGAATTTGAAGTAGCATTCCCTGTACTTTTCGGGTCTGACCTCTCCACTTGGTCCTGGTTTAATTCTCGAAATGAAAATAAAAGTCACAAGTCGACCATGGAGTGTAGTTTAGGACCCACAGCGCTGCGCACGAAACGCCATTATAGGTTATTTTGGTGGGCATGAGCTCGGACGACATTTTCTAACGGCTTTGAAGGAATCGGCTAGATGTCAATTATGTATGCAAGGTTCCCAATAATTTCCAAGGAACTGGAGATATTTGAATAAAAGATAAGCGGAAATTGGTACGTTTACCGGAAATGATTGAAAAAACTGCAAGAAACATTTAGCATTACTGGCGTTGTTCAACTAGCTCAGCACCCAGATTACCGTCCCGACTTCGTCCCACCCCTGCTTACATAACTAAATACTTCATAGCCACGGAACTAAATCACTAACCAGCCCAAGCATCAGCGTCCAACTCAGTCCTACCAGACAGTTAAAACACCAGCTCACAAATGTCTGAGATTCCAGCCCCGACACCGGCTCAGTGTTCAGGCCAGTGTCATTCCGCTGGGCTGCGAGTATGAAGTTAACGGACGGATCAACCCCGGCACTACATTAGCAGGCGGTCGGCGCCACTGGCCCGCAGTGTCGGCGTGCCAGCGTGGCAGTCGTCCGCACCGTCACGGAGCGGCCGTCACGCCATCCAGCCGTGATGTCCGTGTCACGGCCCGTCACATTGTTCAGGGAAGGCTGTGACATCAATGTGACGGAGTGACGCAGCTGCTCAGGCCGTGCTGCGGCTGTACGGCAGGATCCGAGAGACAGGCAGTGATAGAGAGGAGTACTTGTATAGCTGACGCTAGATGGCAGGAGAAGTCGGCGCCTGAAGTGGTATGCTGTGCCGCACGGCACCTACTCCGCTCAACTCTCTCAGCCAGCTACGGAAAGCCGTGGGGTCTCGCTTACCAAATGCGTATTTATAGGTAACCGTTAAACTGGTCAGATAGGCACAAAAGTCAATTGATGTGCTGAGTTTTTGCTTCACTAAAATACTTCTGGTGAAATAATGGAAGAGCCTAGGCAAAGCCAGATGATGCTCACTCGCCAATCGACTCGCCGCCGGCCCTCCCAGGACGGTGCTCCGGTCCGGCCCACAGACCGCAGCGCGGTGCAAAGATCGGCCTGCACGCACTGACCGGGCCGGCCGTCGATAATCAATGAGCCCTATTGGACGGACGTGCCGCCCATTAGATCCACGGACAAATATAAGCACACAAGCTAACAACAGCTCGGCGGCGCCCGGAATGTCGGGCACGCCGCCCAGGCAGGTGAATGTGCCTCCGTGAGGATAGGTGATTGGAACTTTGGAAGGATTTGTTACGGGACAAAAAGGGGAATTTTTATCAACGAAACATCCCTAGGTGATGCACCTAATGATCGGGTTCAATTGCTATTGACGTTGAAATAATGGACATAAATGTCGAAGCGCGAGCAGTAGAACAAGGTGGCTCAGTTTGAAGGGAATATTTCATCTGAAACTTTTGCACAGTCCATTTCAAGGACAATGAAATAGGAGCACGACAGATATCTAAAACGATTTTGTAACCACCGACCATTTAATTTTACGTGAAAGCTAAGCTCCTGTCAGTTTGTGAATCAATCAAACTTCAATACCTATCTTATTGACGTTTGCCTAATCGAGCATAACCATATACGAGTAGGTAAGAAGTATACTGAAAAGGCATACATCCGGCATTACATAATGTATAGTTAATAGTTATTTACCCCATTTTACCAATGCTCATATCCGCTGAATGTCTTATCACATGACGTAACGATAACAATTTCGTATTTCACCGACATTCGAACTTATGTGCATGCACGTTTACTGAATTAGCCTTCGACACAACTAAGTTCATGAATAGCTAAAACGTTCCTTTGCATGGCGAAGTCCATTCTTAGCTCGCAGTCTGACAAACATTTCACGACAGCCTCTGTTGTGCGGTGAGTTATGACAAATGGTATTCGTGTCAATACGGACCAAGGTCAGTCAGTCAATATCGGCCGAAGTAGATATGGTTGGCTTTATTGTGTGGCGGTGCCTTAAACATTTTGAATGTTAGGTACTGAAACAAAATCAGTAAAAAAGTTATTTTTCAGGTGATCAATCGCTTAAACACGAGAATATTGTTTTTATTAGGTAGTGAGAGTTATTGCCGACACATGCATATTGATTAAGGAAGATTATACGGCAAAGCAAAAATCAATTACTCGTCCCTGTTCACATGGACGAGGGTAGAACAAACCCCTCATGCAGCACCGACGGTTGGTTCTACGTACCGCCATAATGTAATGGCCGGACCGCCAGCCCCTTCCAGCTGGCTGCCATACAATGGGCCACTGTCAGACGGTCAGAGAGGTCGCTTTTTGACGTCTCGAGCGACAGGTTCTCATTACAGACCCGCCGTCTTTGTCTGCACATTCTCCACTCGGGTCACGACACACAGACTTATGTCCAGCAGCACCGCCCACATATTGGCTATATCTGACCCGCCCCTGTTGCCCCTAACGCGTCATCAACGGTTAACCATTGAGCTGAGTGGTATCGTGTCCTGTGGTACAACTTGGCAGCTTAGCCGACTGAGCCGCTTAACGGCAACAGCCTCTTGGTCACGCTGTGTTGGGGACGGATAATGAGTCGAGTCGTCGGCGAATTACGGGCGTCTTGGAAACGAGTGGGCTGCTGACAGCGCTATATTCAGGGCTTAACAGTGGTCGGGCAGCTCATGATTCCTGAAGAGCTGTGTCGATGAAGGTGACATGTTTCTACTGTTGACCATGTCTGAGGCATACTCGTATGTCCGAGATAGCGGGGCGGTCCCAGAGTTGCCTGGTTATAGGAGACGGATCAAATAAAACAATTGAATGGGACTTCTCACCAAACTGGTTTATACTGTTCATGATTTGTCATCATGTGCCATTTTCACGCATGGCGCTATTAAAAACTCAAACCCAACACCAAAGCAAAACGCTTAGCACTGTCGCTGTCACCCAAACCGGGCAGTCACTAACCGCAAACCGACCCTCGCCGGACCGGAAGAAGGCCCTTCCGTTTACGCCACCGTAAGCTCTTTATTTTTAGGGGAGAATGTTTTACGTCGGACTTAGGCACATGACCGCACGGAAACGTCCTATTTCTTGGTCGCGTGAACAGCACTTGGCGGCTGAAGTGTGACGAGCTCCTTACCATGACACGAACCGAGCGCAAATGTTTGATGTTCTCGGTCGATACAGACAGGGGTCGTATGGATTTTCCATGGCTGATAGCGCCCGTACTCATTCGGCATTGCAGACTGATGACATGCGGGTCACAATGTCCAGGGAGCCCTCTGTGAAGTTGCGTGATCACGCGATTCGACGGGATGATGCCTGGGCATGAAATGTCAAGAGTTGCTCGTCTTCATCAGTAGTAGTTACCGCTCTGGGCAAGACAGACAAGACGGGCTATGTAGCTATATGTGTTGTAACTCGGGAGTCAGAATCTCATCATGTTTATACTGTCGGTGTAACATGAAGCCCTAGGGCATAAGCAGCATGAACCATATCCCGTTATTAGGTCGCCTACATGCTGCTAAATTTCACTGCCACGAACATAGCTGCGGTACGAGCAGAGCCTGTCTCGGATATACAGGAAATGGCTGAGCTGGTAAAGGGCAATTCGAACAGATGGTGACAGCATGCCAACACTGTGTCCTGAGCAGCGGAGGACGCCGAATTACGACGGAGTTGATATGGGACCGGTAATGAGTAATTTAGTTTAATTACAACATTTTTAATGCCATCATATACAGACACCAAATACCATCAACGTGACGCTTGTTGGCTATGCCTAGACCAAAACAAACAGAACAGAAGCTCTGAAATAGCCCGTGCGTCGGTCATGCCTCTCAGTGCGTTTTCAGCCTTCACAAGCCGCCTCCCCTTCAAACCAACCCCCGCGGTCAGCGGTGTCCGTCGGTCCGCGGACCGACCCCCCACCCCAGCACCAGAGCCCACCAGGGTCCACCGTCCGTGCCCAGGTGGCCCCGCTCCCACGCCGTTCCCTGACCGGCCGACAGCCGCCGTCAGTCCAACTCTCCTGCTTTTAGTAGTCGGCGGCAGCCGGAGAGCCCACCCGTCTCCGGTCCGGACGTCAGATGTCAACTCCCACGGCACCACACGCCACGCTGCGAGAGACGGCTGTTTATTAATTCCGCTGGAACTAAACCTGAACGCGATCGGTCAAACGCAAAATCGCTTTGGACTGGACGGCCAACCGCCGGAGAGCGCTACACTGAGATAACTGGGGCCGCAGACCGGCCGCGATAACACGCAGACGGTCTGACGTCATCACAGCAGTGACGTCACACACACATACACACAGACGGGTCGCAGCGACAATGAAAGCTCGGAATACCACCTCTCTGGCCCGAGGCTGGCCGGCTCCTTCCGAGCCGTCGTCACGGAGTCACAACACGCAGTATTCAGTTCGCACAGCCCAGCGGCCGCGACCTCTCGACACTGAACAAACAACTCCTCGGCGTGTCACATCCGAGCGGTGACGTCACAATATCCAACACGTCATACATACGTTCACATGACGTCACACACGTAACGTATCGAACCACACGGGTTCGCCTTTATTGAAGTTCAATGTGTCTCGGTGCTGGGTTCGCCACACACTCTGAAGTTGGTCCGTCACGAGGTTCCTGCTGGCAGTACCATCCCTGACGGTAGTTCGCCCCCTCCGGCCCTCACATGAGAGCGACTCCGACCATTCGGGAGATCCGCTCACTTTGGAGCTTTTGAGCGACTCCGATCGCATTACCAAGTCTGAGCGAGGCGACACCGCTTCTTCGGTCAGCTTTGTGACCATACAGCCACCGTCTCGGATGCGATGGCAAGTTAGTTGAGTCCTAGTTTCCTCGCCTATACCGTTCACTGGTCATCGGCGCCTTGAGAATCACTTCGTGGGGTAACGTCTAATAGTTCCTGCAGACACGGTAGCAAATGGAGTATGACGTCACACATGTCAGTGATGTCACACAACACGAGTCACGGACCGGACCCTTCCAGATATCAGCTGCCCGCAGCGGCCGTCCGTTCTCATCCACCGGCCACCGACCCGTCGACTTCTCTCCATCTTCTCAGCTAACCTTCCATCGCGCCGAGGTCCTCACTGAGTCGCGCCAGTACGGCATGTCCCTCGAGCCAGGCCGTGGCGGGCTGAGTGGGGCTGGATCGAGTCGAGCCAGGTCATGTCGCGTGACCGGTGACGAAGTCAGTCATATATCCTAGACGCTTGCGCCGGGCGACGGCGGCTCCTACCGCGAGTAGGCCAACTGTTGTGGCACGCCGTTCACTATGTGCTGTTTCAGTACGTCGTTCTCGTAGGTGTCGACCGTTTCCCGGCCGTTCTCATATACCCTGCGGGAAGAAAGAGAGAAGAATCAGCGAGAGGGATAGAGGGGGTTAATGAGGCATACAAGTGCGTGGTAGTGGAAGGGAAGGGTGAATGCATGAAAAGCAGGGAAGAATAAGGGTAATCGAGTCTGCTTCCATTCTACTTGCCGGAAGAGGAAGAAACAGCGCATGTAAGACTCCGAAACAGCCTATTGTAACCCAGGATAGACGTCAAAGGGAAGAATACGAATCACGGCAGTTTTGTTCCGCCTCGCGGCCACGCTGACAGAGAGGATAGGCTCCCTTTGTGCGCGGTCGCTCTGGCGGGTGGGGAAGGGGCGACACGGCGGCGGGCGACAGGTGCAGCAGGCAGAGTCTGTGGGTCAATACACACACGGCACACACGTCCCACACACACTCACCACGGCACACATACATAACACAAACATACACACACACACCTCACATGGGAAGCAGACGGGGAGCCGAGTGAAAGTCAGAGCAAAGAAATTGAAAATAGAAGAGCTTATGACTGCTTAAGGAATGAAAAGGCACAAATGAAGAGTAGTCGTGTTTACATAGGGTTCCCTTAATCTTCCCCTATTTCTCCCCTATTTTCAGATCGAATTTTAGGCATCATAGCGCTCACGTGTAACGTTGCTATGGACGCTATTGTTGTTAGAAGCATACTAAGCATCGTTTATGCTGTAAACAATATAAATATTTTTCCAAAAGCTGCTACGCTACCATATCCAGTGGTTCTCAAACTATCACATCACAAAAGCGGCGTGCTGATTGGCCGGCAGTTCCGAATCGTCCGACTGGTGGTCCCCGACTCGACAAGCGCACGTGCGCCGACTGAGGATTTTTAAGTGGCATTAACGCATAAACGGCAGAAAGTCAAGGCGGTCAAGGCGGAAATTTGACAGGTGCGGTGTTCTGATATTGCCGTGGATGTGATTACACCTACTTGAATAATAGCTCAGCCGTTTAAAGTATGTTAAATGCCAGATAGTTTTCTGATTTTTCTTGCTTTGAGCTTTCATGTGCTATCACTTTTACCTCAGTGTCTACTGTCTAGTCTGGAAGCTATTTGGGAGAGCCCTAAAGGTAAGTAAAAATTGCAAACTGCTTCTAGAATGACTTAGTTGCGCCATATTTGTAGTGAAGCGAGGTAAAGGAGACAGAGGATTCCTTTATAAGGGACATTTAAGAGACAAATAGGGGAAGATTAAGGGAACCCTATGTAAACACGGTTAATGCTGGCTTGTAAAAGCCAGTAAAATCCTTACAACAATGTAATCAGTGAACTCATAAACGGAAAGGAAACAACAAAGCACTAAAGGCAAAAGGAGGATAAAAGGAGAAAGAGAAAAGGAGCTCCATTAACACCAGTAAGTACCGGTTTCTGAGTACGAACGATGCCTTTCACAGCTAGCCATAGGCCATCGAACCCTAGTGAATACGTGGCGCCGCGAGCCACATTACATTATGAACAATGCATCGTCCGAAATGGGCCGCCGACAGTTGTCACCGCGGTAAAGTTCAGGCCGCCACCGTTCCAGGAACTCTCATGGGCCTGTCGTCGGCTCCGAGCGCGCTTGTTACGATACCAACAGGCAGATGCATCAAAGGCCACGCAGCACTCATCTTTTATTGCAGACCAACGACAACGCTCGATTAGCGGCCTTCAGAACGGGGCCGGCAGCGCGCCCTCCTTGAGGCTGCCGGCGCCCGCAGCGGTGCAGGCTTTAATAACTCATCAGGTAGCACATTAGGGCCTGTTCCAGCGCCTCCAGTAGAAATTCTTGACTGGAGGCTCTACCAGAGGTTTCACTGGAGGCGCTGGAACGCAATCTGGAGATTTCTGGAGATTGGCATCACATATACCAAAATAATGACAATTGCTCTCTCTTGAAACGCAAAATTTGTTTTCAATTTTATTTAGAAACATTAACAAAATTATAGCAATGTAATTTTCTTTACATTCAAGTTGTAAAATAATCAGTCAAAAGTCCTTTGTTTACATTCGTGATTGTCACATGTGCGCCATAATTGTAGACCAGAGCCTCCAGAGAAATTTGGACCTCCCAACTCTCTGGATGCTACTGGAGGTTTCTGGAGCTTTGGCGAGAGCTTTCTGGAGCTTTCTGGAGGCGCTGGAACGCTCTCTGGAGGATTCTAGAGCTTTCTGGAGCTTTCTGGAGGTTTCTGGAGGCGCTGGAACAGGCCCATAATCTTTGAAGGGGACTGCGCTATCCCCAAAACAACCGCCCGGCACATATCAACCAATCAATTCAGCAATATTCACCGGTCTGTCCAATCATAATGGAAAACGACGCCAAATGTCAAAAGGAATGATTACGGAGCCATCAACTGATACCGGAGCTCGATTATCTAGCAGGAGACAGATAATATCGCAACAGCAGCTTCTAAAGGTCACCATGTATGACATTTCATTACTGATTGTCTCAGAGGCATATAGGTACAGTTTTAGCAACAACGTATAGCAATCTATCATTAGTGGCTTCTGAAATGAGTTTTTTTTTATAAATCGGTTGTTTGCGTCTGCGGGCTTACGAAACTGATCCCCCAACTAATTCCGCTGACATTACAGATTGTTGGCAATATCAAAGTACCTTATCTGTTGATCGCTTGCGGTCATCTCAGGTACCCAGAAAGGTCATCATTAGAGTAATGCGCCGCAGTTAGAATATTATTTGCTGTTCGCCATTTACCATAAAACAGTCTTAGGCTTACTTGGGCGATTAGTAATAGTTCAGGAAAAATAATAAGGCACCAAGCTATGAAAATAGGACACCTGCCAATCTCCTTCTCTTTCCCAGCTCTGCCCTCTTCCCTCTCCTGCCTCCGAGTCGCTACCCGTCCATGTCAGATCCATCAACGTGTCATCACTGAAGAGGATTTGTAGATACCTGAATGTTCTACAAACTAGGTGATGTCGCTTTGGCAGTTTCAATTTTACCAGCGCAGATTACTATCAATAAAACACAGCTTCCTATACTATACCGGCGGGCAATCCACAGGCGCTACTTTTCTATCCAGCCTTTTCGTTGTCAATGTCGCCACTGTCGCCTGCAGTTACCTCTGCTACCACGCCTTCCGCCGCCTCCACCTCAGTCCGCCACCACCGTTTGTTGGGCCTGTGTTTGTGGACCAAATTCCGGCACGGCGAACAACGCGAACAACGCGCTACCAGCGACCAGCCCGGCCGTAAATTGACGCTCTTTTTCGGGACGACCGACTCGGAAATGTTTTATGGGTCTGGACAAGGCAGGGCAGTGGAAAATGTGGGGCCCAAACAGTGTACGGCACGCCAATAGTGGAAGAGGCATACTTGAAAAATGACGGTGCGTTAACTCTTGATGACCGGTAGTATTGAACTGATGGATGACAGTGATACTGTAGGTTCTGAACCTAGAGACGATGGATATAAACAGGAACTGTCGGACGAGCATTGGTTACGTAAGGTGAGCCGATGTGGAGGGGCATAGGATACAACTCGGCAGCAGCTCATCAGCAGTGAATATCTAGGTCACATTTTACGGCGAGTGAACGCTTGATTACATACATTATTGATGCCGACACTCACATCACAGTTCACAACACATAAAAACTCCACACTAGACTTACACGCCGCGGGTATGGCTCACCTTCTCGTGGTGATTTTCTTTCCGTTAATGAACTTTGTGCTGGTGGAGGTCCGCTTCACGCCGGCGCTGCCGCCCGGCGAGCCGCCCAGGCTGCTGAAGCTGGTCGACGACACGAAGGTGGTCCCTGCCCCGGCGCCGGGGCCGGCCACCGAGCGCGCCGCCAGCGCCGGGTGGTGCGCCGCCGCCGACGCCATCATGCCGTCGATGGCGGCAAACGAGGACATCATGCCGCCGAGTCCTGCGAACCCGAGCGGCGGGAAGAGCAGTGGCGCGCCGAACAGCTGGTGGCCGGCGGCCGCCGCCGCCGGGTGGTGCCGGCTCCGACTGCGGCCGTGCCGGCTCCGGTGCGGACCGCCGCCCACCAGCGGGTCGCCCAGGCCGGCCGAGAAGAAATCTGTGGGGCGCGAGCGGTGAGCCCGGGGAGGTTAGTGGGCTGGGGGAGCGAGGCCGTGCAGCCGGCAGCGGCAGGCACGCGGACAGAGCAGGCAGACAAGACACGGCACACGACACACGACAGACGGACGAGCTGGCGGGCCGGGCGAGCTGGCTGGCGAGGAGGGGAGAGGGAGAGAGTAATCACAGGAGAGAGGGACCGGAGTCGGGTTACCCCAGTGCGCCGGAACAAACACATGGTGACGGATACAGTTGCAGCCCGGCGTCAGCCGTGCTTATACAGTACCGGGATGCTCGCCAATATTGACAGGGAATCAATAGAAATGGCTTAACTGGTCTGATAACCCCAAACGCCTGTTGGTAACTGGAAAAGTGGATATTTTTTTTTTAGTAATAAGTAGACGCAGGAATATGCCCAAGTTTCAAATTTCATTATAACAAAATTTCCAGCACATCAGCTGAAGTACTCCTAGCGTACCTTGTACCTACTACCTACACAGTACATCCCTCACTACACCATCCTGCGCAGTGCGCGCTCCACCCCTCCCCCGCCCCATTCCACATATGCCTGCCGTCCCACGCCCGGCGAGCCGCCGCGACACCTGTCACCGCGCGCCGCAGCGTCCGTCCCGGTCATTACATCACGTCGCCTCCTCAGCGCGCGATCGATGAGACGCGTCCGACGGGCCGCCGGTCAACTGGCGACCGAAACGAGTCACCGGCGACACGCCACGACGAAATGAATTACACTCATCGTCAGGGGGGGGGGGGGGGCAATGGAAGCCCGATATCGGTCCGATGACGCTGTATTACCGACTCGATAAGGAAGTGATATTTTATTCATGGCTGGTAATTTCGGGGTAGCGGAAGTGAGCGACCGCTTCACGCGGTGTGTAGAGAATGCAGCGACAGCAGCGGTCGTACTAATTTTGACCTCGTCTGCTCCACGAGGCGTTCTAAAGTTTGAGCTCTCAAGAATCGGACGCCCGGCACCCAGCTGTCAGCCGCTGGACCACAACGCAAAACTTTCAGGCGGCGATCATTGCCATACCACCACCGTCAGCCCCCAGGAACAGGGTGTTAGTCCCCCCCCCCATCGGAACAGCAGCTCAGCCTCCACCCCCCACCCCGTATCCGGCCCCGCAGTCCCCTGGTTCCCCCGGAAGCGCCCGCCGGTCGGCAAACCGCCACCGGCGGCGGTCAGTCGGCCCGGGGCGCCGCAGCGCGGATCCAATGCCAATTAGAGAATGGCCGCGGCCCGGTCAGCGCCGGCGGGCGCCGCTAATGTAATGACGCCGGCTCACGGCGGCCGGTCAGAGTCCGGTTACAGCGCGGCGGGGCAGGGATCCACCGGGCCGCAGCGGGACCGCACGGCGCCACGTGCCGCACGTGCCACGGGACGTGCCGCCGAACGGCGCTCTGATGGTGTTACGGCGCCGTGTAATGCCGTGTAACGGCCGGCACGGGCGCAGCGCCGTGCGGCCTGCGAGGAAACGGTAAAGAGCGCGCTTAGATGTTTCTACGAACGTCTGGCCGGAGATAATATAAGCAAGTGATTCTACCGAACGATAACTCTTGATCAGTTGCGGGAAGCGATTTCCATCATCAAAGTGAATATGAGCCTCCGTAAAGAATAAACCATTATTTCTGGGTAGCTCAAGTAGCTCTAGGCGATTCTAGCCGGGACAAAGCGCTCCTAGCCAGGCTTACCTGGATCTATTGTAGGCATATTCCCATCAAAGCCTGACGGATTGTTCTCGTCAGCTTCTATGCGAGATCAAAAAGCGGAATCAAGTTCCATTAGACTAAGCCTCCTATGTGGCCGTTATGGTCTGACAACCTTTCTGAAGAGGGATTAGCGCTGCATATTACAGGTATTGATCATGTTCATAGAGGATAACATGGACCACGGGACACATTAGGAACAAAGAGGAACTCAGACAGCTCAAAACTACAGCAAAACTTCAGCACGGCCTCAGCAATACTGCGCACTAACTCACAAATAAAAATACTATAACTCCAGCCAAGCCGAAGCGGCGCAGCCCCGGGGTCCCCTGCCGACCCGCGGCGCCCCCTAATGAAACCCGACGTCGGTCTGCGGCGCCCGCTGTTTGGCCAAGACGACCCGACATTTCATCATCGGGGATCGACCGCGCATGCATCGACCGCACGGCGACAGCCACGGAGTCGAGCCATCGAGCACGATCCGACGCTCGACGACGCCCGGTCGACCACAATGAGCGGCCGGGGAGCGGAGTCGCGCTCCCCGCGGATAGCAGCTAGCCGGCGGGCGGGGAGCAGACCTCGAGCGGGCGTCTCACAGCGCCGAGACGCGCCGCAGGTAGGGCGTCATCGATTTCTGACGGCGACACCTGCCGTCCCCGCGGGCCGGCCGTCGCCGTTTTATGGCTCCATTCACCCGAAGTTGACAGGAAGAGGGAGGGGCGCGCCGGGGGACCGTTTCTGACGGCGCAGACACGATAGGCTCGCCACAGTGCGTGTGCTCGCCGCTGGCAGTCGCGTCCGCGGGAGGCTGGTCTCTGTCCAGTGCGAGCTGACAGCCGGAATGAGACAGATAATACCAAGGGAGGGACGAGCGTGGACATTACTCACATCTCGGGCCGTTAGTGTCACTGTGCGTTAGATGCTAGTGATAAAGCTAACGCACACACACGTACACACACGTCAGGCGGTCAGCCACGCCAGCCCGCGCCAAGGGGATATTAGCATGATGCAGCCGTCTCAAAGGCCTGTCTGCCGTCACCGGCCGCCGGCGCTGGGTCCAGTCACCGGAGCCAGCGCTGCGAGCCGTCTCAAATGCCATCTGGTTCACGGAAAATGTCTGGATCTGCCGGGACCCAGCGACCCGCGGCCAGAGAGCCAGGTAAAGGAGCGAGGGGCTAGATGGGAGGTGGCTGGTAGATGGGCTAGTCACTGACGTGCAAAGGTTATGCGGCGGGCGCCAGGCTATCGGGCACATCTCTTCGTCAAAGTTGACTTTACACCTAAAACACTCCCCAAAGCTCCACTGACTTGAGTCGACATTTCTCCACATACCTCGATCAAAGGACTAAAACGCATTGTCTCTCCCACATCCCATCATAAATCAATACCTTTCAGCATCCCTCCCTGCCTCTCCATTGCCCGCTCTGTCCCCTAGCACCCTTTTCGTCCCTCCATCACCCTTTTCGTCCCTCCCTCACCCCTCCTACACCCCATGCCGCGCCGCTCACCATCAAAGAAATCCTGGAACGGGTCTCCGCCGAAGAACTCCCTGAAAACGTCCTGCGGGTCCCTGAACGTGAAGCCACCGCCGCCGAACAGGAAGCTGATGTCGTCGTCGAACAGACTCCCGTGGCCGTGGTGATGGTGCCCGTGGTGGTGATGGTGGTGGTGATGATGGTTGCTCGGTCCACCGTTCTTCAGACCCTCCTTGCCGTACTTGTCGTACACTTTCCGCTTCTTCTCTGTGGGTCGGACGGGGAAGGAGTTAGAAAGGTTCACAATAGAGGTGGGAATGCTTCAGATAATGGAGTCTATCATGGTGGCTGAGCGACTCGAACACACATTCCCCGATGCTAGATGACACTTCACTGATATGCACGGTGATCAATGGCTACGTTATGGCCGATGCTGCTAACCGTCAGCAAAGAAGTGCTTAGCCGACAGTTCGTGGAAAGGGTGTTACATACGACGAAACTCTTCTAAAAGAAACTCTAGCGAATTTTCTTTATTCGCTAGAGTTTTATTTTTTAGCGAAAAGTCTTCATTTTAAGTCAATTAACACATAAACACATGCCGTTTTCCAGTCGGTAGTTGTGTGTGACTGAATGCACTATCTACGATCTACGATCTGTAATCTAATTTCACTTTGTCCAGTAACAGACGCTCAACTCCTTTTAAGCTTGCTATGTCGATAATAACCTCTCAGAGCTGATCTCAAAGCATCGTCTACCCGTATGCTTAATCAAGGCATCAAACAATATCGATGAGACTCGAAAGGTCACGATAATTAGTCAGCATTAAGCCTTCATACGATCTGCATATCAGAGTGAAATAAGCACCGATCTATTCGGACTTAACAATGTCATTACAGCTCGTACAAATCCTGGCTTCAGAAGGGTACAATTCGATACAGCTGGTAGTCCATATCATGCCTATGGAATCGGTTAGGGTTCGCGCCGGGAACTGCAGCAGTTAAAAATACTCGTCTCTAGCATCAGGCATCAGCGCGACTGAGTTTAGTTAGGGGACCAAATAGGTGCTCTTTAGGGATGCGGGGCAGAGCAGAACAGGGGAGGGGGTAGGGGCAACACGACACACAAAGCCTGTCACGCGGCTGCAAAAAGCCATTTGCGGTGGTGCGGGTACTGTTACTCGGCGAAACAAAAATATGAGGGCAGACAGGGCCAATGGATACACGACAGCGGGCGGCAGCGGTCGATGACGGCACTCGGACAAGACATTGGCCCACGGAGCCATCCGGTAAAAATGTGAGGTATCTTGTTTCCTACCCCACTAATGTGCAGCACTGAGCACCAGCATGAAACGGCATCAATCCGATGCTTTTGATCAATTGTAAAGCTTAAGCCACATCTGTATAGGGATCATCATTTCAAAGCACTCAGAGAATGCTGACACAAAAGCAAAATAAACGGAATATTTTTTATATTATTCTGAAACTGTCATACGGCGTTAGATGGGATGTTAAATGTAGGACCTATATGTTTAGACACACGGGCTTTGAGAGCCAGCGTCACTATACTGATACTGCGGACTGCCTAGTGGACAAAGGCACTCATTTCTTCACACAATTACGAGCCTCTGCACTTCAAACAGACACGCAAACACAACAAAGGCGCTATCGTGTTAGTCACACTCACTGGCTACCTCTAAACAAAACTATCCACACGGGCGTTATAGCGGCAGGCGTCGTCTCACTCCTCAGCAAAACGCGCATCAGGGCGCGAGTAAAACCACTGCACAACACACGTTAGTTTGCACTCGACGGCACCGTCACACCGTTACCAAAGAAGCGGAACACGGGCCAAAAGTGGAAGCCGTGAAATCCGTGGGAGCGCTGCGGCCGGCGGCCGGCCGCCGGCGCCGCGCGCGACCTCTGGTCGTACACTCGCCGCTTGGACTCTGTCGGCGCGGCGCCATAGTACGAGAGCGGTCAGGTATAGACGTCACCGTAAAGGTACACGGAGGGGCGCTGTGCAGGTGGCGCTAACAGCGCGTACTCAGAACCATTTCCTAGGTTGGGATACATACGGACCGTGCTACTGTTGGGATGGATGGAAAGCATAAAGGCTCCTATAGCTGGGGGAAATGTATTTGCCCTTTGAGGCAATTTCTGAGAGGCGACTTCCCATATCCATGAAGAAGCTGCACAAAGTATTGACACCATCTTCCTAGGTTTGACCTCATGAAAACGGATTAAAAACCGAGTCGAGGCACAACTGCCACCTCTCGTTACGCTACCACTCACAGGCAGCACCACTGCAACAGTAAGTGCAGCGTTCACTGGTCGTCATTCAAATGAACTCACGTCTGGCCAATAGCCCCCTAAAATTAAGTGCCATCTTACCGTCTATCAACACCTCGTAGGCTTCTGAGATCTCTTTGAACCGTCGCGTGGCATCTTCCTTATTGTTTGGGTTCTTGTCTGGATGCCACTGCAGGGCCAATTTACGATACCTGTGAAAAAAGGAACGAAAGGAAAAAAGTCAGCGAAATGACATCAGCATCAGCAGTGCCACCTGTGTACGATGAAACGATGGCAAAACTAGAGCTTTCAAACTGGCCACCAGGTGGCTGATTCTCGCCAGTCTCCAGCGCTACACCCTCATCACACCACAACAACTAAAAGTGAAAGACACAACTGCTCACAACAAAACACTTGACACACCTCCCAGCCAAGGAAAAGGCAGCCACCCGTCCCAGCTACCACCCGCCTGCGCCACCCGCACACCCCCGTCCTCCGCGCTCTGTAGGCGTCTCTCGGCTCTGCAGGGGAGTCGAGGCGGCGGACACTACCACGTGGTGTAGGGCCCGGGCGGACACCGGCGACAGGTGTGCCAGCCGCCCCCGTCCCCGCCAGGACAGAGAGTCACACAGTAACGCACCAAGGTCTCCGCCCCAGTGGCTGCTGGTCGGTGAAGGACCCGCGTGGGCCACCGAGTAGGGAGGAGAGACTGCGTCGGAGGTCGCGAGGTTGTGGGATGGGAGACACAGCTGGAGCCTTAGAGCCTGGTTATCCCTCTATTTCCTACTCCTTACCTACCATTCTATCCCTTCAATTATCATAACCCATCTCTCCCAATTCTATTTCCTGATTCCTCCCACCCAGTTAATAACATTTATCTTCCATCTCACCTACATAGCATCGCCTCACACCCACACATATATCAGCATATCACCTCCCATCCACACCTCAATCTCGTTCCATCCCTATTCCTACCCCGTTGAAATGTACCCAGTCCCTCTCCAACACCAGCACCATTGCTCAGTGACCATGAACCAAAGTGTGCCACTGCAGCAGCCGGTGACACAGGTGCAGTATTTCCCGCACCCCCTCCCCTCCCCCGCCCTCAATGTCTGCAGAATGACTGCCATCTCCTGCACGAGCCTGCAGAGAACATGACTGTGCGCGACCCGAGCGGCGAGGGTTTCCAGCGCCCGTCACAAAAACTATGGAGCGTGCAGAAATCGGTGGTAGCGGAATACCAAACACGACACAGCGCGCTGTGAACAACATCGGAGTGCGCTGAGAAGAACATCAGAGTTCGCTCAGAACAGCAGCGAAGTTCGCTCAGAATGGAACGTAAATATTTGGAAAAGCAAAGCTATGCAGACTCCGTTTGGTTTATGTTTCGAAGCAATGATGTTTGATTAATCGGTTTAAAGCATAACAATAGAAACATTGTACTGACAAAACGTGAATGCGACCACGTCGGCAAATGTGTAATGATAATTCATTCCCCCGGAGGGCTTACTACATTGTAACTATGAATGGTAGTACGATAGAAAGAGCAAAGTACATTTCTATAGCAACATACAGCACACAATACATGTGGCGTAAAAACACAATCCGCCTTCCCAAGATCGGGCAGCTTAATATATTAGGTCAGACTTCCAAATAGCCAACACCGCAAAGAGCAATATGCCTCGATAGTCGATAGACGATATGCCCTTGGTTTTAGGCCAAGGTCTCGCATATCCCTAAGAGCACCTACAGTACAGACAACTTCCATTCCCTGGCAACAATGAATCTTCCTCCTGCCACGTGCTGCCCCCCCCCCCCCCCGTCAGAACACACGGCAGCCGGTGCGGTCCCTGCACCCGGGTCCGGCTGGCGCGGGACGGGACGGGACGGGGCAGCCACGTGCGCAGCCAGCTGCCTCTCAGCAGGAGGCGCGATACCCGAGCTCAGCACTCCACGAGCTACGTAGATGGAGTGGGGAACGGCGAACTTTTGGTGGATCCGGTAGGGAGGGGAACGAATCTCTGATAAATCCCAAGGAATGTAACTTAACATTTACGTATGAGTTTTAAAATTTAGACACTAACGTAGGTAATTTTTGGTGAAATCAGTCCGACTAAGAATATATGCACAATCACTCCGTCAAGCCGTTAAGCCGATGAGTTGATTGCTAGTTAGAGGCACCTAACTCTTCATCATCTGATCCCATCAGATACCCCGCTCGCCCATTCGATTCATCAGTCTGGCAGCCGCACCGTCTTATCACGGCGCTTCGGACGGCCGTTTCGTGACACTCTCCGACGTCCCATTCATTTCCGCTGGCTCTCTCCATCAGACGCGTAACAACCTTTGCTGAAGTATCTTAGCGGCTGTCTCACCACCAGTCCTCGGTCAACTCCCCTCCTCTACCCACCACTCCGACGTTCTCTCGAACAAGTGACGCCCTCAGGCAGACCCTCAGACGTCTCAGTTGGTCGGTTACCCCGTTCAGACAGCCGTTTTGTCTCGGCCGTCCTGTCATTTGTCCGAGCCCGTCCAATGGTTTGTCTAAGATGAGAACGGGGAGCCAGGCGACTGCAGCCACAAAAAGCCTGGCCCGCGGAGCAGAGTAAAGCAGGCTAGCAGCTGCCAAGCTTGCCGACAAAATGAACTTGAAATTCCAACTTATCTTACGCTTGGCTTTACTTCATTCAACTCGAAGTGAACGAAACAATCGTCTCATTTGTTTCTGCCCCAACTCATAAAATTGCAATACGAGCCACGTTTCAGTTTACCCATTATAAGACATTCACTAGCATAATCCTGCCTAAAGTAAGTCCCGCTTCCCTCGTCCATCTCCCTAAAAAATCTACTCGAGCCATTTCCCAAGTTTATCTCAGTCATCATTGTAGCCTTCAAAATATCTACCTGAAACACTAGAATCTCTTCAAAGTTCAAACCTTGGGAGCCAGAATTGAACCTATCCTCTGGACCTCTCCACCCAGCTCCTCTACCACCCCAGTCACTACTCCTCCACCTCAAGGCTCCAGTCCCCCTACCGCATCCTTTCAACCCTCAGTCATTCCGTACTTAAACCATCAGTCCATTAATCCCTCAGTTCCTCAATCCCAATCCCTCCACCCTTCCCGCGCCCAATACTCACGCCTTGCGGATCTGTTCACTGGGCGCGTTCCGGGGCACATCCAGCACCGTGTAGTAGTCCACCATGGTGATGGCCGGTGAGGTCAGGTCAGGTGAGGTCAGGTCAGGCGGGCCGGGCCGCGGCGCGCGCCTGAAACACACAGAACGGGCGGTGTGGTCAGTTACTGACATCTCAAAAAGGTCACTGACATTGACGCGGTTTGAAGGGATTAATTACTACACATTACAGCTAAAATCAATAAAAGAACTGATTGCTGTCACTATAAGGGTGTCACAACTCACAGCCATTGCCACTGGGAAATTTAATCGTTCCTGAACACGACAAAATACGGTCACAACGGCATCCCGCTGTAAACGGAGACACTTATGACAGAATCACTCCAAATTCCTCCGACAAACACGCTGTGTCAGTCACTGACATTTCGGAAAGGACGGTTAGAGCGGTCGGTATATGGTGTGAAAGGTCAACGCTACACACGGGGTTACACAAGGCCAAAGGGCAGGGACCACCGACCGCAAAGCTTCACCACACCAAACAAGAAATTGCACTATTCATGAGGGGTAACTATACCGTTTGCTCACAAATATAGGTGTTACACGCGCAGTAGGTAAGGCAAGATTCATGTGAAGGATGAAATGGTGAGCAATGCGCATGGCACACAGCATTGAATCGATTTCTTGCGAGACAAAGGACAAGTAATGATAATTGTTCAAAGCATGGAACTCAGTATAGACCTCGCTATACATATGTCTGTTTGGAATCAAGAGCGGACTGTGACTAATTGTTATTCAATTGTGCGCATTGGGGAAACCATAGATCAGCGAGCTGCGTGCTGCCAAGTGGTGGTTTGGGTGTGTGATGTCAAACTGAAGATAAAGCAGTGATCTGATGGGTCGATAACTTGTACAGACGCAAAAATTGTCTGAGTTGCTGACCAAGTTCGTCTATTATCCCGTCCAATTCGACAAAGAACGGGACTATCAGATTCCAGGGATTTCTTGATTTGAGACTGACTTCGTCGCATGGAAACATCACCAGTAACAACCTAAAACCGATCACCTATATATCCACCCATAAAAAGTGTCATCAAGGCAAATGTCCCCAGCAACGCCCATCACAAAAACGCCCAGTTCTGTGAGCTTTTCGGTGCGCCTCAATGCAGACGTGATGTCAGGACCCACGACGCTGGCACCCCTCTCAATTTTCCCCAGCTCGGACCTACCCAAACCATGCTCCTCCCGGTGTGTCAGATCGCTGTTACCCGCCGCCGATCTCTCTCGGCAAAACACACACCGCACGGCGCACAGTCACAGCCCCATCGCAGGCCGCAGGGTCCGACACTGACCCACCACTCGCCAGCGTGGCCTCGCCCATACGCACTGAACACTACGCCACGCCCGCACAGTCCTATCTCAGTCTCATCGTCCTCCACTGACCAGCCGCGCGGCCGTCTCACTCACAAACCGTACACCGCTATCCTGTGGCAGTAGCAGCAGCGGCGGTGGCGGCGGCGGGCGGGCCGTATCGACCCCAGTCAGCTGAGTGGATCGGCCCGCCGCCACCGCTACCGGCAGTCACACGCGTCACTCTCTCTCCACACTGACCCACTGCCGGTCAGCGGCCTACGGGCACCGTCCAACACCGGCGGTAGTCCATGCAGTACACGCTGTAACCCGTCCTGACATTTCCGCAGGCCGCTGAAATCACACGGATCCCGGCGGCTCGTGTTTCCGCCCGGCCGCTGAGCGGCTTCCACAGAGCTGGGGTCGCTGGCCCCGTCACCCCCGACCGCTGAACGCGCTGCATCGTCACGCAACCGGTGACGTCAGGTATCGCTACGTGCTAGACTAGACGATAACGGCTCACTGCGGTAGACGGAGCACCGTAAATACGGCTTCCAATCGGCTAATGTCGTGAGGGATGACAACGGGCAGCCGAGTCCCTTCGACATAATATACCTGCTCTAATCACTTTCTGGGAGAAACACGAGTAAATGCTCCAAAAGTTATATAATTGACTACACCCTACAATACCATCATTTGCCGCCATCCTGCTACCCTAGAGTCGCTACCGTTGAGTCGACCTAAATCCTCACCACCTGAAGAGCACACGTGGAGCGGCTTTCAGCACAGCACGCGTGCCCCTCCGCCCGTCCGCGGCCGCTGCCGTGCCGGCATACGATAAGCAACGGTGAGCGGAATCCACATTACAGATTGCACCGTGCAGTCCCGCTATATTCCGCGGCCTCTGCCGGTCGTCTGCCGCCCGGTCGCTCAGTGTGCACGGCCGGCCGGTCCGGTACGGCCCACGCGGCACCGCTGTTGGCCGAGCTCGGCTGAAAATTGGCACATTATCGTCCCCAGATAGTGGCGGACGGTGTTACGGAGCCGTCGGACGGTGTTCAGAGTCGGAGGACGGTGTTCGAAGTCGGAGGAGGGCGCCGCCAAATGGCTCGACTGCTGACCGGATCTGTAGCCGGAGCTCACTGCACCTTACGAACCGGCGTTCATCAGCTCAGTGGACCATCAGTGGACTGGTTAAACCGGGATACAGCAGTAGTTGCAGTCGCAGTAGCAGATGTTAGATCTACTTTTGGAACGAGAAGCGGACGGCGACTGGGACGGTTCGGATAAAGTTCAAAACTAAGGAAATTTGTCTAGACTTGCAACAATAATGGAGTAGCTTTAGACTTTCAAAGCAATGCTAAATGCATATCGCTATGAGAAATATCTGACAAACTGGCAAACCCGAATCAGCCGACAGCCGATTAGCGGGCACGGTTTCGGACACCCAGACGATACCGGGTCCATGACACCCGAAACGGTCTGATATACCGCACTACTCCCCCCGGACGATAACATGGCACCTTCATTTGTCTGCTGTCGGCAATTTTTGCCGCCATTTTCACCCGTTCCACACAATTACAGGACCATTAATCACCGTAAATCGAAACGAATGGCGTCTAGTTAACGGATCGCGAGGCTGAAAGGCAATGCCGCTTTTTCACTCTGCCACCATTTGTAACGATATTCACAGCTCCTAGAGGGCGATAGAGATTCACAGCTGCGAACGGGGGCGGAGAAACCCTACTGTAGTGACTATTTAATGAATAAAACACGGAACTTATCGGTCTGAAGAGAGTTTCGAAGATCAGCTTAGCATTCAGATCTCTTCCCACACGGTATTTCTCACAAACTCGACCAGCACTGCCTCATGCATACAAATGTTCAGCCTAACCCCAAGCCCAGTTCATACGGAGTTGCGCCAGTTCGATGGCCACTTCACTTTATGAAACATCCAATACATGAACCGCTGAAACAAGTGCCCTTCTGTGGTCTGTACGGAAGAAGACTTCACAGCTGAGCGGGCGCAGGCACGGGCCGAGCGCGGAACAAAGCCCCCCGCCCGGAAGTAGTCGCCGCAGACGGCGCGCCGCCCCACCAACGAGGCACCTCTGTTGAGCCCCGCCGTCGAGAAACACCCTGTCAAACACACCAGCCGCCAACAGAGGCCGCATTCTAAATAAACCGGGCCGTGACGCCGCAGCCAGGGACGGGTCCTTTGATCAACGGCCGCCCCGTCCTGCCGACAGGGCGCGGAGAAAAAGTACCCATCCTCCGCGCTGTTCCAACGCGTAACGCATGTCCTTTGGGTCCCGACTCTGCAACAAAGGCTGCTCAGCAGACGAGCGGACACTTCCGGTTCCGTCAGAGAGAAGATGGCGGCGGTGGTCCACCCGTTTCCGGACGCTGAGAGCCAGTTGGGAGGGCGGGCGGCTCGAGGAAACGATGTTTTGCTGCAAACAGTGGGAGAGACCGGGGCCGGACAGCGCCAAACTGCAAATGTCGGACGTGATTGGAGTTCCACAGTGGGAGTCGATTTACACGGAGCCACTACCAAACAACGAACTGGACCGGAGAGGCGCGAACCAATTTGGTACACGCCTGAGGAATCATTCGCACCATTTAAAACATCTATGCCAAAGGCACTCCAGGATCAACTCCCACCTTATTCCAAGGCGTGGGGAGGGGAACCAGCCTTACATGATAAATGCAATGTCTGCAACAGCCATTTCCAGAAATGCCATTCCGGATGCTGCGCGAGCCTATTAACTGTGAAGCATCAAGACTGAGGTCCGGTCAGGTCGGGGTCAGTCGGGTCAGATCATTAGGGGTGTGCTCACAAAAACGTAGAGAAAGAACATGGAGACGAGGGAGATGGGGAGGAAAGAGAGAGAGAGAGAGAGAGAGAGAGAGAGAGAGAGAGAGAGAGAGAGAGAGAGAGAGAGAGAGAGAGAGAGAGAGAGAGAGAGAAGAGAGAGAGAGAGAGAGACAGAGAGAGAGAGAGAGAGAGAGAGAGAGAGAGAGAGAGAGAGAGAGAGAGAGAGAGAGAGAGAGAGAGAGAGAGAGAGATAGAGAGAGAGAGATAGAGAGAGAGAGAGAGAGAGAGAGAGAGAGAGAGAAGAGAGAGAGAGAGAGAGAGAGAGAGAGAGATAGAGAGAGACGCCGTTACGCGCCCCCATAACGGTACTTTCCCCCAACGCCGTGCCTCGCCTCTCCCAATTGCTCACTCATTGGCTCACCATCCCATCCTCACAGCGGGAATCGTCAGAAACGCCCACTGCACTCTATGTGGCAACAGCACGCACCATTCCAGGAGTGAGCCGATCGGCCATCCCTGGACATTAGGCCGGACACGCACCCGCTGAGCCGGGCCCATCGGTGCCCCGTCAGTTGGGCCATCGGTGCCCGGTCAGACTGCCCATCGGTGTGCGGTCAGACTGTCCATCGGTGTGCCGTCAGGCCGTCTATCCGCGTGCGCGGTAGACGGTCCATCGGTGTGCGGTCAGAAACTGGGTCACCGTGTTTGTCACGTGAGGTCTGCCGCGATCGGCTGGCGCTCGGAGCTATCAGTATCGACCACCCTAGAGGGAGGGAAGGGTTATGGCGAAACGGAGGGAGACGGTCTTCGGCAGGCCGGTGGTCTGTGAATTGGCAAAGGAAAGCAGTCTTCAGCGGTTGACGATAAGTTGACTATCAAGATCAGCAGGCAATCGGCCAATCCTCAGCGGCCAATCCCATTGGACTGAGATGGATTGCAGTTGCACACTAGGCACGATTAAGTCAGCAAATAACAAATTT